TTGTTCTTATTGCTTGGCTTGTGAGCTGTTTTGTTCCTTTAAGGACATAGCACATCTACTCCGATTCATTATGTGTTGATTTAATAGTGTAACTCTCAGTCTTACTTTGTTTCAAAATTATTCCCCATTGTAGACCTGAAGATATGTATCTGTGAAATGCTTTGTAGCATTTTATACATAAACCCCTTTTTAAAATTTCTTTTTTTAAACATTTCACTCATTTTCACTTGGCACATTAGGAGTTTGCTGACAAAATTGTATTCTTTGACTCCAGAATATTTTTTAATTTGAAGTAATACCAAATAATTGGCTGGGTGAGTTTATTTAAATGCCTTATAGAATTTTTCCCATATTATTTTGAGATGACTGGTTTTTACCCATATTTTTCTATATAGTAGCTCTCTGTTGCCTCAGCTATTAATTTGGATGTAATCTATGCAACAAAATTTTTAGAAAAACTATTTCTAAAATTGGGACTATAATATTGACTTTTTAAACACCTGTTTTTCTCTAGACATTGTATTTAACATGGAGCATATATGGCATACAGGAAAACAAGGCTGCTTTGAAATGTCAACATAATTGTAATGGGCAGTTTGCCAAAGAAAGATTTGTTTGCTTTTAGCTTTATGAAACTTCCTGTAGAGCTTCTTGGTGAAGGTTCTCAGACTCAGGAGGCTGGAACGTCACACACATGCATTAGCTCCCTAACCTTGCCCAATGCCAGTCCTTTCCCCATGAATTTTGGATCCTGTGAAATGGCATTACATTTTCTTTTTTAATTTTCTTCTTTTTTTCTTTTTTCTTTTTTTTTGAGACAATGCCTTGTTCTGTCTCCCAGGCTAGAGTGTAGAGGCATGATCATAGCTCACTGCAGGCTGGAACTCCTGGGCTCAGGTGATCCTCCCGCCTCAGAATCCTGAGTAGCTAAGACTACAAAACTACACCGCCATGCCCAGCTAATTTTTAAATATTTGTAGAGATGAGGACTCACTCTGTTGCCCAGTCTGCTCTCAAACTACTTGGCCTCCCAAAGTACCAGGATTACATTTGTGATTCACTGTGCCAGCTACTTTTTTCTTTTTTTAAGAATATCTTATTTACAAACCACCTTTGAGGTGTTTTCAAAATGTAGACAGCCTCATATAGTCAAACATTAAGCAGAACTTTTTATTTTATGAAACTTTGGATTACTGGTTAAATTTGACATGTCAGTTTTCCAGGTCTTCATAGCATGGCATAATGTTCCTCATGTCACATGGGGCCTTTAGAAAATGAAGGTGACTCTGTCTTGCTGTGTTTTTAGTGCTCTGGATTAGCTTCCTCCCCACATCCCTCTCTTCTCTATGCATGCTTATTTTTAAAGCATCTGTGTTTTTTCAGGCCTCTTTCTCATACTGGCAAGGTAAGTTTATAAACGTCAGGTTTTCCCTCATTGTTCCCATTCCCCACTTCTAGGTGCTTCATCTCGGAAGGTGTGGGCTCTAAACAGGACTTATATGTCATTAGCCAGGTCTCTTAACAGTGTGGGGGCCTTGCAAGACAGCCAGCTCAGGCTGCCTCCTGCTTCCAGGGGCACCCAGTCCCAGGATACAGTGGGCACACCCATGGCAGCCTGTCCTTCGGGACTCTCAAATCCCATGACTGTGTTTTGCGCACCAAGTGAACACCTGATGTGTCTCCTGCTTCCTTCTATGAACCTGGGGTGAGGCAGGGCAATGGAGGGGAAAGAGCCAAGTTTTAATCCCAACTATACGCCGTCTTGAAATATCTCTTAAATGGAGCCATGTAGGCCCCACTGGTTTTGCCTGTAAAAAGAGAAAGATCAGGCTGGCAAACTCAAATGCCTCCAGGCCAGCCAAAGATTGAGGCCTAGAGTGCATACCCCACTCAAAGTGGTCAGCAGCTTGGCTTTATTATAATGGTGAGAGAATGTAGGCCTGGTGGTTCTATACCTTTTGACTTCTCAAGAGAAGCTGGAAATCTGGGAAAAAGGTAATTAATTAAAACGTTAGCAATTAAGTCAGTATCTTAAGAAACACTGTACAAAACCAAGCAAAACATGTCTCTAAGCCAAATCATCTCCAGACCTTTAGCTAAGATGATGACTAAGGCCTGTCTAAATTAAATATTTTTAATGTCTGTTATTCCAACATTTTCTTGGAGGAAAACGTACAATGTCCTGGCTGCTGCCATTATTAGTGCTGAGAGGGCTGGGTGGTTGGGTTGAGAGACTTGGCTTGGCTGTCAGCAGGAGGTGCACAGTCCCTCTCTTCTCCTGCTGGGAAGGCTGAGAGATTGTGGGGCTGCTGTAAAATGCAAGCCAGTGATAGCTCCGGCCCCAAAGCAGCTGCTGTCCACCATCTGGGTAGTGTCATTTCTGCGTAGAAGCAGTTGGAGCTGATGTTTTGGTCCGGCTCTGTACCCATCATGGGTACAGAGTGAAAATCAGGTGAAATGCAGGCAGCCTACAGACCTGTGAGCTTTAGAATAAATGCAGGTTACTTTAAGCCATTGATTTTTTTAGTGGTTTGTTAATATAGCATAAATAGAAGTAGCTGACTGATACTGTAGTATAGAGGAGGATGGTTACACATTGCTATAAAACAAGATATCAGCTTCTTTTTCAAAAAACAACCAAAGGGGATTCTCATCTTCTCACACAAATGTTTTCATTTATGTTCTAATTCTTCACTCCCATACTTTCCACACAGTTGGGATAAACCCTGAATTGCAGATTTAGATTCCTGTGTATACAGCTAATCAATACTTAGCACCCTCTTTAGAAAGGTATGGCTTTCCTTAAGCCAACCCCAGAGAGGATCTCAGTACCCCAGACTGAATATTTAATACATCTGAAATGACATCTGGAAAAATACGCAAGCTCTTTTTCAGAATCAAAAACAAAGAGTTGTAATCTCCTGAATTCAACAGAGATTGCTAAGAGCCTACTCTCTGCTGGTATCTGTGCTAGATGCTACATAGAATTTGCACAGTTGATATTTGTTCTGTTCCTGCTGTCTGTCATGTGCTATGGTCAAATTCAGGGCCTTTAAGGAATATACTAGTTAGTGGGAGAGGCAGTGAAGTGGATAATTAAGGCCCAGTGTGGTAAGCAGTGCCATAAATGGCACATCCACGGTCTTAGGGGAGCTTGGGGGAAATGCATCTGACACTTCCTGGAGGTTGGCATATGGGGAGCATTCAGAAAACCCTCTCTGAGGGAACTCACACCATACTTCAGCTTTCTGAAGGATATGATTAGGATGAAATCCAATAACCAGACAGTAGAAAGTGGCTTTAAGGAATGATCCCTCTCTTTACTCATTAAAAGGAAGTGCTCACTCTCTCTCAATGAGTGCCAGAATCACATGGCTCAGGTATTAGGCATTAACCAAGATCCACATATGATATTGGTGCATATGCATACCAAAAATTCATAACTTTATTGCATATACATATGAAAATTCCATGACACCCTTTCTGCACTTTGTCAGCTCTCTTGGTGTTGCCTCAAGAACCTGCAGCCTCTGGCTTTCCTGGGCAGGCAGCTTTACTCCAGTCTGTAGGGTTCCAGCACCTAGGCTAGCCAGTCCCACACCCAGTTTTTGTGTCATCCATCAAGATTCGAATGAAATGCCATATCCAGGAATGTGTAATCTGGCTTTAAGAAAGGCTACCTTGGCCAGATGAAGTAACTAGAAATGTAGTAGAGTTAACCCACTGTTAGGTGGCAATAGGCAACAAGAAGCAGCTGGGGAGATGTAGTCCTCCCCCTGTTGCCCCCGACACTCTCCACCCCAGACTGCTCTGAGGCATGATTTCTCCATTTCACCCATCTCAAAATGCATCACCTAGCTGAATGTACCTGTCTGCCTTTAACTTGCTGTGTCGCTTCAAGCCTCATGAAGAAGCTAGTGTAGTGCTTCTCGTTCTTGTATATAATCCCACAGGGAGAGGTCCTACGGAAAAGGAAACTAGGCTGTTAGACCACCACACTTTTTTAATGTCTTCGTCCCGTCCATAAGCAGATCAGATTACCGTATTTCAATTACTCATCTTTTATTTTTATTATAAAAGCACCCTCTGGTGGTGAGGAGTCTGCATCTCTGTATAGGACTATACCTTCTGCGATTATTGTTCAGGTGGCTTGCATGGTGCTAAACTTTTTGGAGTGTGTGCACTTCTTTTCCAAGAAGAGGCGTAGAAACATGCTTGTTCATTAAGAGGATGGGGAAATGCTAACTTTAGTTTATTAGGTACTTCTGATGGAAAGAAGTTCCTCCTTAGGAAGTAAGGATTTTTGTGTGATTTTTGTTTTGTTTTTGTTTTTTGTTTGAGGCAGTGTCTTACTCTGTTACCCAGGCTGGAGTCCAGTATGATCATAGCTCACCATAACCTCAACTCCTGGGCTCAAGCGGAACTCCTACCCCACTCCTGAGTGGTTAGGACTATAGGCATGTGCTGCCATGTGCTGCTAATTTTTGTTTTTTCTTTTTTATATGGACAGGATCTTGCTATATTACCCAGGCTTGGAAATAAGCTTTTTATAGCTAATTTACACGTTCTGCTTACATGCTCCAGGAAAGCATTCAGTAAATGATTTTCTAGCCCATGCATAATTATACGTACAGGACTGTGGAGGTTTTCTCCCTGGCACAGCAAGATAATGGGCATGATTCATTCACCAGGTGGCTTACCCCAGGTCATCAGGAACACCTTTCAGTTGCAGTTAACATGCTGTTTTCACCCTTTCCTACAGTCAGTTTGCTTCTTCTCTGTTGCCATTCTTTGCTAAAACAGCTATTTTGTAGGAGTATTACTCTAAAACATTAAGTGTTACTTCTCATTTCTCTTTCTCTTTATGTCTTCATGAAAACATAAATCAGTCAAGGTACTCTGTTGTTCAGTTAGAGAAATCGTTCCACTGTGGAGAGGGTAGCACAGTTGTATTTGATCAGCTCAGATTTAACTTGGTGTCTCTCTTTTATTTCTCAAAGGTGTCCTCTCTTTAGGGATGGTGAGGTTGGAAGAAGGCTCCTGTAACCCTCCTCCAGGATGAACCACCTGCCAGAAAACATGGAGAATGCTCTCACCGGGAGCCAGAGCTCCCACGCTTCTCTGCGAGACATCCATTCCATCAACCCCACACAACTCATGGCCAGAATTGAGTCCTATGAAGGAAGGGAAAAGAAAGGCATATCTGATGTCAGGAGGACTTTCTGTTTGTTTGTCACCTTTGACCTCTTATTTGTAACATTACTGTGGATAATAGAATTAAATGTAAGTTGGTGATTCTTTCATGACTTTTTAAGAAATGTTTCCAGAGACAACAGGGTTTTTTGTTTGTTTGTTTTTCTTGTCATTTATCTCATTTAGTAATTTCCATCTTGGACCTTTCTTATTCTTTAATTTATTGTTTAAGGTAAATGTGGTCAGTTTAAAAATCATGTTTTCTGAGATTTTGAAATTTAAATTCCTGGCGTTTTGCTCTGTAACAGGAGTTGACAAACTATAGGCTGTGAGACAAATTCAGTAGGCCTGTTTTAATAAAGTTTTATTGGAATACAGCCAGGCCTGTCTGTTTACATATTGTTTATGGCAGGCTTTTGCACTGGTAGTTGCAGTTGAATAGTTGTGACAGAGACCCTCTGACCCACAAAGGCAAAAACATTTATTCTCTAGTCTTTTTCAGAAAAAGTTTGCCCATCCTTCTGCCAGAAAAATGTAGAAGAATGCTTTTGGAATAAATTTTGGGTGTTTCATGTACTTTTCTAATTCCCACGTTTAACATTTTGCATATGTTTGTTCTTTACTTTCTTGCAAAGAGATTACTTCCTTATATTTCATCAGAAAAGTTGTCCTGGAGGCATTTGGAGGTTTATGCAGTTATTCTGTATTACCAACTAATTGTTTAGACCAGTACTGTCCAATAGAAATATAATGCAACTTATTATATATGTAATTTAAAATTCTCTAGTTGCCACATTAATAAAAATCAAAATAAACAGATGAAACTCATTTTAATAATATTTTTATGTAACCCAGTATATGTGTTTTCTTCCCAAAGCCTTTGGTCTGATTGTTTACATTCCTTACCAACAAATAGGTGAATTCCTCCCGAAGTTTTTCCTCACAGGCAAAAAAGTATCTGCTTTCCTATTTTCAGCAGTTCATTTATTTCCAGGAAATGCTTGCTATGACCTAGTTAGTAATAATTATTACCTATTGTTTATTTTTAGGGGGTTAGCCTTTGCGAGGCACAGTACTAGATCCTTTATGAGAATTTATTACAATACAGAAGATATGAAAAGATGCTGAGATTCCTGTTTGAAAATTATTTTAAAATTTGCCTTTTAATAGCAAGAAGCAACATCTTAATCTAAATTTTGATTAGGATTCTAATACATAGCAGTCATTTCAATTCTAGACTCTAATCTCTTAACAATTAGGGTCATTGAATCTCATTTAACTTCATCATGAATACTAATAGAGGAATAAAACTCATTATGAAAGTAGACAGTTACATTAGAAAATAATATTTGTCCCATAATCAGAGTGACATGGAGCATGAGTCCACTGTTATGCTTCTATTAACAGATTTTTCTTCTGTTAATTTTGCACTGTGGGAATACCTACATTTTGTTTATAACCAGACAGGACATTGATATGACGTAGTAATTTAGAGTCTCTTTTTACTGTTTGTTTCATATGTGCACGTTAAAGAAAATAATTAATGTATATTTTAGAGGAGTAATATGTTTTCAAAACTATAGCTATATAATGAGAGATGAAAAGGAAATGCATCTTTTAACAGTAAACACAGCAACAGTTTTAAGGGGGCACACTTAAAAATTATTTTATCGCCAACTCCAAGTCCAGGCATTCATTGCTTTGGCTGCATATATTACTGTGTGCCTTTAAAATGGGAAGTCATGGGACAGAACTGTGGTGGGGTTCATGGGATCACACTTCTCATTTCCTTCCTTCCTGTTTTCTTCAGGGAAGTAGAAATGAAGTAGGCTGCCCCCTGTTCTTGTTCACAGACAAGTTATATATTTACATCTGCATGCAACATGTTATACATGAAAAATCATCAGCCCTAGCAATTTTGAAATGTGTTTTTATCCTTACCTTCCCACCAATTACTAGTTGCCCCAGTTGTAAAATTAAAAGGTTGGAAAAGGGTATACGATCTTTAAGCAAGAACATCTTAACTTTTTTTAGTATGATTGTTTTTCAACGTCCAATTTCTAGTTCTGTTTGTTTTGAATTGTCATCTTGACTTGGCATTTTCACTTCATACAGTAGCATTCATTTTGTTTTGTTGTCTTGCTGTAAATCTCTAATCATTCAAATCCATTTTTTTTAACATGTCTTTACATTTACCGAGTACCAGAGAACAGGTTTCTAATTCAGGTGTTGTAAGCTCTACCAAAAAAAACTATATGGGATTTAGAGTTTAGCTGAATAAATATGGCACATAATCTTATACTGCCTTGTGATGTAGTCTTTAAAAGAAGAAAGAAAATGTCATAAAGGATGCTAGGCCTTTATAATATGGGTAGCCAGCTGTTCTCTGCCATTATAACAATAACCAAAGTACTTTGTCTTCATGTATGGCTTCCGCCTTAGTCAGCCACTTTCCCTCCTTGCTCCAGGGACCTGACTGGCACCATCCGGCCTCAAGTGCAGGGCTCCTGTGAGCCGAAGAAGCCTAACACCACCTTAGTTCATTTTCCTTCTGGAAGATCTTAGGGCTGCTGATCTCTTTTTGGTCAGTCAAGAGGATTGTTTTGATTCCATCCAAGGCCTCTTGGTCCACCTTTGAGTAGACCGATTTCCCAAGTTGGATGTGGAATTAATCATGGCTTGGGTTCCTTGAGGACTCTGTTCCCTCTGCAGACTCTCTCCTAGACTCTGTAGACAGTATCAACAGGGATCAAAGTAGTGACAGTCGAAAGGAAGTTGATTTTCTTTTTAGCTTTTGATACTCGATTGAGACTATGGTTCAGAAAAAAAGGCTTTATCAGTGCTTAGTGACATCTTTCTTCTTATTTTCTAACTGGTATACTAGAAAATGTCAGAATCCTCCTAATTTGACTTATAGCTGTCATGACCAGGTCTTTGGCCTTAGGCAAGCTGTTTAATAAGTTCTCTGGGCCTTGGTTTTTCCATCAGTTCAGTAAACTAATACTGGTCTTGCCTTCCTCGTGTGTCCATGTGAAGATCAAATGGAAAGATGTACACAGCAGCCCCTTTGAAGATACAAAGGTGTGCACAATTAGAAGTTATGTAGTTTATTATTAACTAAAATTTAACCCAGAAAGAGGAAAAAACTGCTGGTTGCCATTTTCTCACTATTGTTACATTTAAGTTTCAGGTACTTATTACCCTGCTAATTCTGATTCTATTACTTCATTTCTACTATGCTCCATAAATTGTGATGACCAAGTATAATAGAAATTCAGATAAGGGAGATCAGTGGCTTGGACTGTTTGAAGGAGTGAATGGAACAGATGGTCTGTGAATTGGGTTTGGAAGGACAGGTAGCAGTGAAGATGGGAGGATGATCTGGGAAGGATGATCCTTCAGTTTGGGAGCTTCAGGAGAGGGTTTGGAGATCATGGTGCATGGAAGTACTGATGCAAGAGTGTGTGCTTATGCATGGGGAGTGTGCGCTCAAGTGTGTGTATTTGGAGGGGACAGGAACAGAGGCCGAGAAAATACTAGCCTGGCCAGAAAGTAAGGTACCTGCTGGAAATGAAATTGTATAGATAGGTTGGTGCTAGGTTATTCAAGTTATTAAAAGGGATATAGAAGGATTTGTATTTACTGCAATGGTGAGCTGTAGGTTCTGGAACAGATTGGAACACATGATTTTGAGATTTTTTTCAGAAGTCAGTGACACAATCTACATCACAGCCTTTTTGACCTTTCCAGTTGGATGTCTGATTTAACATGCTTCCCTCAACACATACACACACCTGCTTTCCCCCTTCTTCATCAGTAAGCCAACACAGAGACTTGGGCCAAAAGTCAAAACACATTTTTGATTTGCTTGTTTGTTTCGTATTTTTCATGCTTCATATCCAGTCTAAAAGTAGGTCCTGTCAAATCTGTCTCTAAAATATATTCAAAATATGACCACTTCTCTTCATTTACACTGTTTCCAGCCTCCACCAAGCCTCATGTATCACTCATCCAGACTGCACTCCGGACTGGTTGCCTGCTTCCACTCACCCTGCAATCCATTCATCTCACAGTAGTTAGGGTAATCTGCGAAAAACAAAAGTCAGATCATGTCACGATCTGTAACAAGTCTTCACTGGCAGGCCATGGCATTTAGAATAAAATCCAAATGTTGTGCCTTGGCTTGCAGAGCCCCCAGAAGCCTCTCAGACTTCTTCCCGCCCTCTGTTCCTGGCTCTCCGAGGAGCAGCACACTTGCCTCCTTCTGTTCTCAGACAGGAATAAACTTCTTTCTATCTTGGGACTCTTCTACTGGTTGTTTCTTCTATATGAAATGATTAATTTCCTTTATCTTTTTGTAGAAATCAACTTCTTATCTTGCCAGTATCAATTTAAATGTCTTCATTATTCTGTCACAATAACCTGCTTCTATTTTCTGTGTAGCATTTATTTTCTTATTTGCTCTCTCTCTCACCTTGTCAGAATATAATCTCCATGAAGACAGATGTTATTTTGTTTACTGAAGGGTTTCCTATATTTAGAACAGTGCCTGGTGCATAATAGATGCTCAGCAAATATTTGGGGAATGGATAGAGATCACTGTGGCAGTGGTGTGCAGGCTGGACAGATAGGCAATAAGAACACAAGGTGGTGAGAATAGGAAGGAAAGAACTAACCTGAGAGTCACTAAAGGAAGGAGTGTGAGAAGACTTATTGATAGGCTGATTTTTTTCATTCCCAGTATGTCTTTAGATGACTATAAAGTTTCCGGCGATGAAACCTAGCAGAGTAGTATCAGAACTGACTGGGAAGAGATTTTGTATGAAACTAAACTAGTCTATTTAAGACATCTTGAGCTAGAGACAAAAATTTTGAAATGAGGATTTAGAGTATAAGCTAGGACTAGAGATATAAATTTTAGATAATGTCTATTTAAAGGCAACTCAAAATCAGAGTATTTTAAGGTATGCAGATATCAGAGAAAAGCTGTGGGCTATTTGTTGCAAAACTGTATTGGCAGCTTTGATTCCTGTTCTCCCAGGAATAGAAAGGGGAGGTCTCTCTGTGGTAGAGAGCCCCTCTTTGCTAATCTGCTTGGAATACTTATTCTGTTAATATTCTGGATATTGGCAAGTTTCCTGAGTCTGGAGACACAGTAATGAGACTAGGTGATTGGGTGTCTGTCAATCATTATTCCTCCTTCCTTCCAGGTTTTCAATTCTATTCATTTGTAATGGTCTATTGCCAAGTGGGTCTACAAATGTTTTGTGCTAATTACACAGAAATGTAGACCTGTGTAAGGGATTTTAGGGAAAAGGATAGTATTTATGGTATGCTTTCATTTGCATAACAAATACAAATACATGAAAAGATATCTAAGCCAAGAATACCCTTCCCTTGTGGCAATTTTCATTCAAATTTGAACGTGGCAAAGTTGTTCCTAATTTCTGTTTTCCCTCTTACCCAGATCGCTAGTTAACTGTCCTTCCTTTGTCCTTTTTCAGACCCTCTGCATTTGTTTGCCAGGACCATGCTCTGAATTGGAAATTTGAATTTATTTTTACACGTCTTGCTCCCTCTGATTAGGCTAATCCGGGGCCCCAAGAGTTACTCTGCTCGGGTGCTGCATTAGCTGCCGACATATGTCCCCTTACTTGATTTTTTTAAAATAGTTTAAACTTTTAAAAAACAGAATTTTTTAAAAAAATAGTTTAATTTGTCAAATTTTGAACTCGATAATTTAAAATTTATTTTGACGGTAGAATTGGGAGAGGACAGAAAGTTGTATCAGGCTTGAGTTTCATTATTTACTGTAACTTTCTCACTTAGGATTCAGGTCTAGTACTGTCTTTATTTCGTTATCTATTCATGTTAAAAATATTTAAATTGATAAAAGTGCAGAATCTTTAAATGCCAGGAAAAATAAAAATGAGAAACCACAGAGAATGTTTACAGTTCTACCCTATGTCATGCTAGTGGCCATCACTGATGTTTGGCAGGAGGTCAGGGGAGGCTTGGCCTTCCGGAACATAAGACTGTGGAGAGTGATCAGAAAGTGAGGGAGTCCTGGATGAAGGTGAATCGCCTTCTCTAAAAATATGCATTTGTATGATGGAAGACTTTATCTTAGAAGGGAAAAAATAATTTTCTTACCATTTGCCCAAATATGAACTACAGAAGTCATTATTTTTCACTATACATTTATATCTGTTGAATGAATGAATTCACAATTGAGGAATCAGAAAGTGCTATCCAGTCCTTTTCTATTAAAATTGTGAGAGTTGTTTTCTTCCGTATTTTAACATTTCTGGGTTCTGAGAAGATAGGAAAGTTGGAGAGGAAATCTTAACCCTTGTTTTATTTCCACGCATAAACCTCTCCTTGTTTTTTCTTCTTACTCTCCTTTCTAGGTGAATGGAGGCATTGAGAATACGTTAGAGAAAGAGGTGGTGCAGTATGACTACTACTCTTCATATTTTGATATATTTGTAAGTATTTTTTATGTTTCATTTGAGATGTAATAAAACTGATCCAAAAGGCAGACTTCTTCTAAATGGACTTCAAATTCTATGCTTTTTTTTTTCTTGTTTTGAACACTGACCATATTTTCCTTTTAATTCCCCACCCATTCAATGTTCTCTCTCTCTTACTAAGGAATTGTCTGGTCATCTCAAGAAAATAAAAGATTAATGACAGATAAGGGAGGGCAGCAGAAGGAGCCATTCCTATTTTCTTGGTGGAGAGCCTTTCTTCTTTCAAATGGCTGAAATAGAACCCATGGACATATCTAGTCACTGAAAGGAAAATTAACCTATTAATGCTACCCTTTTTCTTGCCTTGTTCTTTCTTTCATAACGGGAGATTAATGTGAAACCTAATTTGCTCTTACATTAAGTTCTAGTGCAGGGATTCCCAAATGCCGGTTTACAGACTAGTCTCCAGCTAAATCACAATAAGGAAGACAGTCTGGTGAGTTCCTCATAAAGCTATGTCATGTATATGTATATATTTTAAAACATCTCCTTATTGTTTTCAGCTTTTGGCAGTTTTTCGATTTAAAGTATTAATACTTGCATACGCTGTGTGCAGACTGCGCCATTGGTGGGCAATAGCGGTGAGTATGCCCTGTGTGAGTGGGTCGTCTCCTCCAGTGCTCGTGGCTGGGTCCTGCTCTCAACAGGCCTGGGCTGGGAGAAGATATGGTTGTAATGTGGGTGGAATCCTGCTAGCTTTCCTGAGTCCCATTTCCTCCATACTTAAGTAGGTTTAAAACTCCAGGGCTTCTTTCCAGCGTTAATGAGTAACTGGATTTGTCTCTTTGTGCTGAGCCAAATGAGGAATCTAGAAGCCCAACACCAAGCCACCCTCTACCTCATTTTGTGAGTAAGAGATGGGAGTAGTACCTCTGTCACAAAGATATTTGGGAAATGTCTCATTTGGTTAAAAATGCTTAGTGATTGTTTTCATGACATGGTCCATACGTATTTAGGTAATAGCCTTACCCCCTCCTTCTTCCCTCTGACCCCCGTCTTGGAGGGAAGAGCTCTCACTCTTTCTGTTGTTGCCTTGGGCTTCTCAAGGACAAAGACCTTTTTACTCCTCTGTTTCTTTGCATCTAGCACAGAGGGCTTTGGTACCCTCAATAAATATTTAGAGATTGATAGAATTACTAGCAATTCTGCCTGACAGATGTTTGAATATTCGCCTTTGTAAAGCTTTAGTAAGTCAGTTATGTGGGAAGGAAATGTTGAGCTCCTCAGACTAGAGGAAACTGCTTAGAAATAACCTGCAGTTCTGCTGTTAGAGGGCGAGACCTCAGGTCTGGGTGGCCCAGGCCTGGGTTTGTCCAGCTGAGAATAGAACTTGTGCTGCCCTCCTGAGTCCACCAGGGGGCCACATCAGCCTGGGCCATCTCTTCTGAGCATTCGCAGAATCACGGGGCAGAGATCAGACTGTCTGTTAATCTGGAAGCTCTCATTTCATGGATGTAGGCCGACAGTCTTGGCCAGACTTGATTCCCTTTCCTGAATACTGAGTACTCTCTTGCTGATATCATCATAGCTTTTGATGATTGTACCCTCCCATTTTTCTACATTTTCTACAACAAACTGCTTTGGAATATTGTATTCCTGAGTCCCCATATGTATGCTAGTATTTGTCAGACCATCCCTCTCAATGTTTGCTTTAGAAACGTGTTTAACGTACGGATATTCAGTGAGAGCTGTAAGACAGTGTCTTCAATACCTGCTTTCAGATTATCTGAAGAATAAGTCTAATTTAGCAAATCCGTTCTATTGCTTCTGATTCTTGTTTAAAAAAACATTTGCAGAGAAGAATCTAGAAGCTGGAAGGAGGAGAAGTCAGCTGGAATCTAAAGAGTGCCTAGTGTCAGCATGTAAAGTTAATTAGTGTCAGAATGTAAAATGCTAAACCGCCTCCTCTCCCAAGCAGCTTACTATGGGGTGTGTGTGTGTGCGTGTGTGTGTGTGTGTGTGTGTGTGTGTGCGCTGCAACTTTGTTAATACTTACTGAGCAAGATACTTGGTGCTCCCTGTCCTCACTTCTGTCAATCAAGCTACTATTGATATTCATTTTGGTCAGGTTTCATCCTGCTAAAAATATTAGTTGAAGGACACAGTGATGAGACTCAGGTGTTATGAGATCTCTGGTCTTCATAACCCCTGAGGAGACCCCACCTACGCATTTTACCAGTCCATTTTCATACGCTTGTAAAGGCTTTGGAATTGTACCTTCTGGTGGATAAAACATTTACCCAGCACACCAGCCTACCGAAATGTGGAAGAAGACATGCAGCCATTTGGTATTGTGTCACATAGAAGCCTGTTTTGCCCCAGTGTGGGTCTTGGGGACAGAGACTGAGTGATATGGGAAGGCGCAGGGCTAGAGACAGGTTTTTAGGCATTGCCTGCGCCTAGCTCAGACGGGTCTCTTGAGAAGTGGGAGGTGCCTTCACAGTGTGAGATGCCTAATGTGAACAGTGCTGGATCATGTGTCTTGCAGTTGACGACGGCAGTGACCAGTGCCTTTTTACTAGCAAAAGTGATCCTTTCAAAGGTATGACCTACCACTTTTTCTATATAGTTACCATCTTCAGTGATGAAGCCTTGTTGTCCAGTGTGAGTTTGTGGTAACCTCATTTCCCTTTCCTGGTCGTATCTTTTCTTCCAGCTTTTCTCTCAAGGGGCTTTTGGCTATGTGCTGCCCATCATTTCATTCATCCTTGCCTGGATTGAGACGTGGTTCCTAGATTTCAAAGTGTTACCTCAAGAAGCAGAAGAAGAAAACAGTAAGTTCCTCTCAAAATCAGTCTCCTGAGCCTGGCTGAGTATCAGGCTGGGAGGAAGAGATGTGGTGTGTTGATGTGAATGGAGCTACCGACGGGTGGAGTTAGGCAGTGGTGGGGTCTCCATTCTTTAGTGGCTACAGCAGAAATTGATACAAGGGTTGGGTGGATGAAAGGATAAGTAATAGAAATCATCTCCCCTCTCTAGCTGTTGGGCCAGGCTTCACCGGGAAGAAAATGTGAACACTGGTGAAGAGGGCATTGAAGCGATAACAAAAACTAGCCAGCACCTCTTTCTCCCCAGACACCTTGTTCTTTTCTTCCCATTAGCAATAGGAGGACACTAAGAATTTGGTGCATGTACATAGAACTGTACTGTTGAGGGGCAGAGAAAATAAAACTAATTTTAAGTGTGTGGAGGCAACTATTATAAATACAAGCCAGTGGTTCTCCAGTCTCCCATGGTGATCCATGTATTAGTTGGTGGCTTCAGGTGGTCCACAGTTAGAACAGTTAAATGCCTAGGGCTGGAGATGATTGGTGGGTTTAGGATGAAGGTTATTCACAGGAGGATGACAGCAAGCGAGAGCGATGCTCAGCCTTTTACCATCCTCTGAGTAGCTGAGTCATAGCTAGCATGGTGTACTCATGAGACCTGCCAAAGCTGCTATAATCTCATCGTGGCTTTGAGTATCCCAGAATATTAACTAGGAAGGCCAAATGATTGATTGAGCTTTATGGTAAATTAATGAGCTGGAATTCTTCTCCATATAATGTCCTTAATGGAAGCCTACATGCCCCACCCACGTATCTTAAAGGTGAAATGATCAAAGCTCATTTCAGACACGCATGCAGTTTTAAGACGTGCTGTTTTTACACTTTTTCCAGCCACCTGGCTGAATTTGCCCTGCCTCATAGGAAAAGTATCTTACAGAAAGTTAAACATGACTATAACTTCAAAAAAATCAGGATGCAAAATAATCTTGTAAATGGTTTATTGGAAAATCTCATTTACATAGAATAAATATATAAGAAAAGAATTGTAATTCAAGAGCAGATTTTAAAAACACATTAATCAGACCGAGGTGTATCTTCTATCCTCTGCCCTCTATTCCTTTGTAAAAGTGTATTACGGAGAAGGTATAAGTAAAGGCAATCAAAGTCTTTAAATTGTATGTAAATATGAAACTGAACTTTACTGAAAATATATCAACTATTACTATGACTGAGGTTTGAATGGCTATGGGATTAAACCACATCCAAAGTGACTAATAAAGCAGAAGATACAATTAATGAAAATCTTGGAATAGTACTTCTTTTCATTGTCCGTAGCACGTATGACGCACATACCTGGCATCTGCTGTTTGGCCTGGTGCTCCTTCCACTTTATCTTAAGGTTAACTCAGCTTTCAGTCAGAAGAACTTAAGTTTTGATGGCCTTTCATGTGTTAGGGTTCCTCAGCTGTCGGCATCCTGCTTTCTTCCCCTTCCTTTGTTTTTTAAGACACTTTTTTTCTTTGAAACATTCTTGTTGTACAAATATTTCTTTGTCATCTTAATTGTTCTTTATATATTTATAAAAGGCCATCCCTGTATTGTACTTTACAGCTGACATATCTCACCAGATGTAGCCCGCAGACCATTTGTAGGAGCTGACTGTGTTTTTTATTTTACTTTGTGTTTTGGTTTTGATATTGTGCTTTTTTTGTAGGAAGGTGGGTATTCACAAGGGAAAGATGTAAATACTGAGTTAACATGAGGCTGTTTATTTATTTATTCTGAGACAGAGTCTCACTTTGTCACCCAGGCTAAAGTGCAGTGGCACAATCACAGCTCACTGCAGCCTCGACTTACAGGACTCAAGCAATCCGCCCAGTAGCCTCTTCAATAGCTGGGACTACAGGCATGCACTACCATAGTTGGCTAATTTAAAAATTTTTTTTATAGAGACAGGGTCTTGCTGTATTGCCCAGGCTGATCTCAAACTCCTGGGCTCAAGCGATCCTCCATCCTCAACCTCCCAAAGTGCTGCCATTACAGGTGTGAACCACCATGCCCAGCCTCATGAGACAATTATTTAAACTGCCTGGTTATCTGTCCTTACAGTATTGTTTGTCATTTGTTAATGAAACTTACTGTTTGCTTGAAAACTTTTTTAAGTACCTCTTTTTCTAAAAGTATTTCGTTATAATAATAATACCATTTTATTTTACTTAATCTTGCCAAGAAACTACCAGAAAGGTGACCTCATTCCCAACATCTGAATTTCTTCTTTTCCAGGACTCCTGATAGTTCAGGATGCTTCAGAGAGGGAAGCACTTATACCTGGTGGTCTTTCTGATGGTCAGTTTTATTCCCCTCCTGAATCTGAAGCAGGTAAAAAACTTGAATATTATCTGTGCTTGTATCTCTCAAAGGCTCTGCTCTTCCTCCCTTTCCCTACCCCCTCTATTTCTCAATACACTTAGCTAACATCTAACATGCCAGGAATTCGGAATATGAAAATAGGTGAAAATAGGTGAGGCACAGTCTCACATGAGACCAGCAGTAAGGCATAGAGTTGTAAAAATAAATGTCAGGGAAGAGTGATTAGACACCATGGTTTGTCGTATGTATCTTAGAAGACACACAGATAATGGGAAGGGCCTTAGTGCTCTCATTATTCTTGTTCATCACCAAACCAGCCTCCCTGTAGGACTCCTGTGTCTGAGAATGGCAGCAGTGTTCACCCAGTTGCCCAGATCAAACACCAGAGCCTCACTGCTGGCTCCACCCCTTTCTTACAGCTCACATCTCATCATTCACAAAGCTGTTTCCATCCTCTCTCCCTTATTTCTGCCTCCATTTTCTCATTCAAATCCTACCACTTCTTAACAGCTCCAACCTCATTTTAGCATTACTTTCTGCTGTTTCTGCAGCAGCCCTGGTCTCCCTGCCTCCGGTTTTGTCTTTCACTTACCAGCAACCAGAGTGCTGTGTTAAAAATAACAATGACACTCAACAACAAAAATAAGCAACCTGATTAAAAAATATGCAAAGGTTTTGATAGACATTTCTCCAAAGAAGATATACAAATGGCCAATAAGCACATAAACGATGCTTAACTTCACTAATCATTAGGAAAATGCAAGTCAGAACCACAACAAGATACCATTTATTACCCACTAGAATGACTGTTAAAAAAAGCAAAACAAAAAGACAGAAAATAAGTATTGGTGAGGATATGCAGAAATTGGACCCCTTGTGCATTACAGGTGAGAATGTAAAATGGTATAGCTCCGGTAGAAAACAGTATGGTGTTTCCTTGAAAGGTTAAGCATAGAGTTACCATATGATTCACTCTGGGTATGTACTCAAAGGAAATGAAAGCAGAGACTACATCAGATATGTGTATACCCATGCTCATAGCACCAGTATTCACAGTGGCTAAATGGTGGAAACAACTCAAACAGCCGTCAACAGATGACTGGATAAACACAATGTATGTACATCCAATGGAATATTATTCTGCATTTAAAAAGAATGAAAAGCTGGACGCAGTGGCTCATGCTTATAATCCCGGCACTTTGGGAGGCCGCGGTGGGAGAATTGCTTGAGCCCAGGAGCTCAAGACCAGCCTGGGCAACATAGTGAGACCTTGTCTCTATTAAAAAGGAGAAGAATAGAATTCTGACATATACTGTAACATATATGAACTATGAACACATTATGCTAAGTAAAATAAGCCAGACACAAAAGGACTGTCGTATGATTTCACTTAATATGAGGTACCTAGAGAAGTGAAATTCACAGAAACAAAGTAGAATAGGGATTGCCATTCTGAAGGTGGATGGTGTTGATGGCTGCACGACAGTGTAGATGAACTTAATGCCACTAGATGGCATGCTTAAAAATGGTTCAAATGGTAAATTTTATGGTAAATGTATTTTTCTATGGTTTAAAAAAACATTTTAAAAATTGCTAACACTTTTTTAAGTGTTAGGTGCTGGTCTAAGCTTTATTAATATTCAGTCATTGACTTTTCCCTTGTCTGCTTATCTTCTGAGATACAGATTATGAACCATAGCGTCTAATCACTCCTCCATTACATTCATTTCTTACAGCTCTGTGTCTTACCACTGATCTCATGTCATATTGTGTCTAACCTATTTTCATATTCTTAATGCCTGGCATATTAGATGTTTGCTAAATGCCTCCACTCTGTGACGTAAAACTCATATTATGCCTAATGTAGAGATGAGCAAATTGAGGCACAGAGAATTGAGGCAATTTACCCAATATCACACTGATAATAAGTGGTGTAGCTGGGATTTGAACCTGGGTTCCACTGCTAGAGTTCATGCTTATAACTCCTAAAGTATATTGGCCTCTTGGTATTTATGAAAATATAGAATTGCTCATGCCAGTCCCCTGCTCAAAAGCCTTCAGTAGCATAAAGGATAAAGAAATCAATAGATGTTAGCTTGGCTGAAAGTGCCCCTGTGGGCACTGTCACCAGTTGTCTGGCTTCTCACCCTGTGACTGCCTTCTCGTGTGCTGTTCATAGCTCCTCTGAAATGCGGTGCTCTAGAGCCCTCCAGCCACTGTCCACCTTGCTGTTTCCATTCTGATCTCCTCTGCAATCCTAGTTGCCATTCACATGTTCCCAATTTCTTTCCAGCCATGCCTGCCCTCCCCATCACTCCCAGCAGTCTTAGTTAGAATGTCCCCTGTGTGTTCTTTGGGACCTCTGCCCCAGCCCTGTCATCCTGTGTTGTCTGCACTGCCTTCCACGCTGACTGGTCTGTTTCTACTGCTGGGATGTAAACTTGAGTTACAGACTACATCATTGTATTCCCTGTATTAGGCCTAGTTAATATTTTCACACACACACACACACACACACACACACACACGTGATAAAACGGATTCCAGGCAGAAAGAGCCATGAATGATCTAAGGTGCAGCAATGTGAAATAGCAGTGTGCGGGAGGAACTCCAAGTTAAGTTGAAATTCCAGACTATTATGGATCTGAAAGCAGTGTACAACACAGAAACATGGAGCCAGGTGTAATACAGATATGGATTAGTAGAAAACCTGTTGCTAGAATAGTAAAAACTAGAATTAGGTATTAAATTGTTGATTGCCTCATTATAAGGATTATTTCATTGAGATGTTTTGTGTCATAGGACTTTTTGAAAAAAGAAAGTTCATATTAGAGTTCATGAATTTCTACTTCTTTTTCTAAGACTAATACAGTTTCTCAGTACTAATGTATTTTCTTAACTAGAGTTCAGAACATAGAATAGCAGTGACATTAGGAACACCGCCTCAGGCATGCCTCATCCAGCTTTCTAGTTCTTGGATCCATCCGGGCCTTTCACCTTTGTCATTTACCACCACCTAGTGGTACTCTGGAGCACTACTATTTCCTTGAGTTAGGAAAGTAAAGAAGAATGAAAACATTTTCATGATGTTCCACTGTGTAGCTGCTTTGTTTGACAAAAGACAGATTAGTAATGGGCAGAGAAGGAGTGGTCAAAATGGATTACCTTATTATATTTGCATTGTCTGAATGTTCAACTTAGGAAAGAATTAAAATTGAAAACCGTTTCTGAAATTAATATACGTAGGAGAAAAAAGACTACTCTAGAGCAAAGCTTTTCCATTATGCCGATAGCTAAAAATTCAAGCCTTTAAGTAGCTGAAGTTCTAAGCTGCTGTTGCCCTGCTACAGCACTGACTTCCCTAATACACATGAGGGCATCCAAAAAAGGCTTGACGTGCCTTTTTTTGTTTTTTTTTTCCTCCAGCACCTAATACAATACCTGGCTTATATTAGACTTATTAACTGTTGAAGAAAGGGATGAAAAGGGAAAGAAATCAGAGGCACTGTAAACAAAAATGTTAGCATTTTTCCTTGTGAAGGAGCAGCCTGAATTTTAGTATCAGAGAGGTGGCATGGTTTATTAGATATACTTATAAAGGGTATAAAAGTAGCCTGTTTGCAGGTTTGCCTGTTGATCAGACCACATCCCGCATCCCTGTGTATTAAATAGAAAGAACAAGGAAGCGTGATCCTCTCTCAGATGACTGGGTTGAAATTATGCGTGGTCAGAGAACTTAAATGAACTAGTTGTGATGGCAAAGAAAGGATAATTCGTCACCTCCTAGACCATGGAAAGACCAACTTAAAATGAGGAGTTGCTCAATTGCATAATATAGCCTGTCCTATGCAAGTCTAGATAAGACATTCATTACAATTCTAAGTTGCCACCTCCCCAGAGTATCCATGCAGCAGCCTTGCCTTCTTATGGTTCCCCTATGTAGTTACTATTAGAATCCCCTGTATCTCTCAGCAGTGTTCTTGTTTAAATGATCATTTCTGTGATCACCCTTTGTGTATCAAATGGATTTGAAACACAGTTTTTTCCATCTTTTAATTAAAATTTTGAAAATTATTGAAAAATTATTGCCAGGGATACTGAATACTATTCACTTTTTTTTAAAGTTTGATTAAGATATAATTTGCATATAATAAAATTCATCCATTGTAAATGTATAATTGCATGATTTTTAGTAAATTCATAGTTTTTTAATCAACATTACAGAGTAATTTTAGAACAGTTTCATTGCTTGAAAAACTTCTTTTATACTCATTTGCAGTTAATCCCCACTTCTACCTCTGATTCCAAGTAACCACTGATTTCTTTGTATTCTTGACAGATTTACCTTTCCTGGGCATTTAATATAAATGTGGTGATATGATACATGTTTTTTTGCATCCAGCCTCTTTTGCTTAGCATACGGTTTGAGGACCAGTCATGTTGTAGCAAAACCATATCAGTGTTTTGCTCCTCTTCATGGCCGAATATTATTCCATTATATGGATATACAACATTTTGTCTGTATTCACAAGTTGATGGACATTTAGATTTTTTCCACCTTTTGGCTATCATAAGTAATCCAGCTACGAACATTTATGTACATGCCTCTGCATAGGTGTTTATTTTTATTTTTCTTGAATATATTTCTAAGAGAGGACTTGCCACATCCTGTGGCAAGTTTCTGTTAACTTTTTAAAAAATTGTCAAACTGTTCTTGATCATGGCTGTTTTATTTTACATTCCCTCCAAGTCCCTTCTTATCTACAGTTTCACTTACCTGAGATCAACCAAGGTCTGAAAATATTAAATGGAAAATTCTAGAAATAAAAAGTCCTTACGTTTTTAATTGTGTGCCATTCTGAGCAGCATGATGAAATCCCATACTGTCCTGCTTCGTCCTACCCAGAACGTGAATCATCCCTGTGTCCAGCAGATCCACACTGTGTGCACCACCCACCTGGTAGTCACTTAGGAGCCATCCAGGTTATCAGACCAACCATCCTGGTATCACAGTTCTTGTGTTCAAGCCATCCTTATTTCACTTAATAATGGCAAAGTAGTAACTCTGTCAATTCATATATGCCAAAGAGAAGCCATAAAATGCTTCCTGTAAGCGAAAAAGTGACCATTCCAAACTTAATAAGAAACAAAAATCCTATGCAGAACGTAGTCATGTTCATCATATAGTAAACTTTTTCATAGGTATGTACGTGTAAGAAAAAAACATAATATTTTGGGGATACAGTACTATCTGTGATTTCAGGCATCCAAGGATAAGGGGAATTACTGTGTATGCATTTCAGTTTCTCCATATACTCACCAATGCTTAGTATTGGGTCTTTTTGGTTATAGCCAGGCTAGCAGGTTTAAAGTGGTATCCAATTGTGGTTTTAATTTGTATCTCTGTAGTGATACTGAGATATTTTTCATGTTTCTATTATATGTAATTCATAAGTCTTCTTTAGAGAAAAATCTATTTCAAGTCTTTTGATTTTAATTGTTTTTTTTTATTCTTGAGTTGTAAGAATTCTTTATACATTCCAGATAAAAGTTCTTTAATATATGATTTACAAATATTTTTTCCAGTCTATTGTTTGTCTTTTCACTTCTTTATAGAGTCTTTTGAAGCGTAGGTTTTTAATTTTGATTAAGTGTAGTTTATAAATGTGTTCTCTTATGAATAATATATGTGGTCATATCTAAAAACTCTTTACCTTAACTCTATGTCATAAAGATTTTCTCATATTTTCTTCCGAAGGGTTTCATAGTTTTACACCTTTCAATTAAAATTACAATACATTTTGAATTAACTTTCAAATATGGAGAAGGTAAAGGATTAATTCATTGTTTTGCTTTTGGATATCCAAAAGCTGAACAGCACCAGTTATTGAAAAGACAACTTTTCCCCATTGAACTGATTTGACACATTTGCCAAAATCAGTTTACTATAAACTGATTTTGTGCCAAGCCAATTTCTGTTTTTTAAATCCTGCTTTCTTAAGGTGAATACTTATATGATTAATATGATACTATTTTCTTTCTTTTCTGATACAGCCATTTAAAGCCATAAATTTTTCTCTAGGAATTGCTTTTGTGATATTGCATGAATTTTGATATGTTGTGTTTTCATTTGAATGCATTCCTTGGCTTTTAGCAAGTTGACACGGATGTGTCTACCTGTTGACCTCTTTGTATGTATCCTAATCTGTGTTTATTCTGCTTATAAAATGTATAGATTCATATTTCTCAACCAATTTGAGAAATTTGGACCATTCATTCTTCAAACATTTTTCTGACTTTTCCTTCCTTCTGGGATTCCCATTACGTGGTTGATTGATGCCTGATGTTATCTACAAGCCTCTGAGCTCTTCAGCGTTTCTTGTCTTTTTCTCTCACTCAGAGATAGTTGTTTTGACTGTAATTTTTTTCCTGGGAGTGGTCACACTTTCTTAATTCTTTGCATATCTTGTATTTTTTGATGAAAAGTATTTTGCTGAAAATAAAGTGACTCTGGGTTTTTATTTTTTTCGTAAAAGGTTGCTGTTATTGCTCTTGATTTGTTTAGTAAATCGCCTGTGCTAAATCTGTGAAATGTACACATCCTGTGATGTGGATGCTTCTGTTTTCTCTCAGTTTTTTTGTTTTATTGCCCATTGTGTTTTTTCCTTTTTAATTATTGCCTATGTTTTTAAGCCTAGCTTCATGGTTGTTACCCGTGTCTAGAGCTTACTGATTAGGCAGAGCCTAGTTAGTGATTACACAAGAGAATTACGCTCAAACATCTGGATGCAGGCTTCCATCCTCTGCCAGGTAGAAATGTACACGGATCGGATAGCACCTTCAGAGTTCAGGCCATTTTCAAGTCCCGCACCCCACCCCCCACCCCAAGCTTTTACTTTCTGCTAAGTCCTTTCCTGCTCTCTCTGCATATGCTCAGAGCTCAGGCTGATTGGCTGGCTGGCTTAGGCTCTCTTGGGTCTCCTCTGTGCCTGGAGACAGCCCCAACCGGGCATATGCTTGTCCCAGTGGTGACCACAACTCAGGCTCCCAGAGTAGTGGCCCTTTCTGCTTGCCTGCCTCTGAATTTGTCACTTCACTGACAGTGTCACTGGGCATGAACATGGCTCCCCACTCCAAATTAAGTGATCTGCCTTCAACGGAGTAGCTTTGCTGCCATTCCCCATGGTCTGCCCCACCCTGGGAGAACCTCCATGCCTATTGAGCTGGGTATTGGAAGGTTAGGGAGGAACAGGAGCAGCTCCAGGCAAGACACCACTGCTATTCCCTGAATTCTGCAATGTTTCAAACATAAACATTTCTCCAGTTGTTGTATACCTTTGGTCATTTTCCCAGTGGTGAGATGGCTAGTTTTGCCCATTTTGACACATTTTGGGGGTGCTTGTCAGGGAGAGGATTTATTGACTTCTTCACTTGGCCATAGCCAGAAGTCCCTTTTAAAATATGTAAAGAAGACATACTGTTATGTTTTAATTAAAGGTTTAGCTTTGTTTAGGGCTCCCAGATAATTCCAAGACAAACAGCAACTCATTGTAGTTTCAGTGCCGCTGGCCTAGCAGGTGAAAGTTAGCCTGGGAACAGGAAGATGTGGTGTAACCATCTTCCTCAGCCTCCTTCCACCTCCTGCCTCTACGATGGACAGTGCGTTAATAGGCTAGAAAGTAAAACGTTCAACAGTTATGTCTTTATTCAGTTTCCTACAAATTCAACCTAACCATGTGACATTTATGAGGTTAAAATGTTTTCTTCAGATTCTTAGGCATTCTTTCCCTCTACCAAATTTGTCCTTGGCTATAATTCAAGTAGACATTCTCCTAAGGAAAAAAAAAATGTCTTTTTTAAAGTATGCTATCTAACAAGATTCAGGTGCAGTTAGGAGAGGCTGTGGCTTTTGTGTGTGAACTGATGGCATCGCTCACCTACTATCTTGGACTTCTCTCAGGGCTCCCCTTTTTGTTTTATTCTCCTTCCCTGATTATGAAAGTCATGCATTTAAAAAAGTAGAAAGAACAAAAATTAGAAATCACCTATCCTTTAAACTATGCCGTAGCATCAGTGTTGACAGTTTAGTTTCCTTCTTGCTCTGTGTGTGTGTGTGCGTCTGTGTGTGTGTTCACTCACATTATTGTGCCCATGCTGCCTATATTATTCACATTCTGCTTTTTAAAATTATAATTCAAAAATAATGAAGTCAATTCAGGTTTATTGTAGAAATGTTGCAATATCCAGAAAAATATGTAAAAGTTACGTGGTTATTTTCTCCTACTCTTTCTCGTTTGCACACATGTATTCTTTTTAATTTTATCAAATGTGATCTCATGGCATATAAAGTTTTATTTGTTATACATTTGCTTTTCCCTTACAGTGTATGCATTTTTATATTGTTACAAATTATCTATAACCATAATTTTAAGTGGATGCAAGATATTTTATGGGACTATAGCATTAACCTTTATTCTCAGATACTTAGCTTTCTTTTCTAATTTTTAGTGGGAAAATCTACATAATAAATAATAAGCATTATTTCCTCAGGGATAGGTGTATCCTAAGGAAAGAATTCCAGAGTGGAATGACCAGGTCAAATCTAGGAATATCCTGAAGCTCATGAGACATTGATCCTGGAGGGCCAGACAGTGGTCACTGCCACAGTGCTGTCTCACTGCTGTCTTGCTCACCTGCTACAGCCGTTGTTAGAAACACCTAGATTCAATTATTTGTGCCAAGCTTAACATTTTTGCATGTAAAAAACATATACAAGCTTGTTAGCAAAGAGGTGGAGGAAGAAGAGTGATTGATAAGAATTTTGGTCTCCATGAATATTCTTAGTTCATAAGTGAAATCCATTTTGACAGATTAGTTTAAGTGATAGATTATTGTTTAAAGGTTTTCCTCTTACAAGAAATAAAGTAAAACTTTTAAATAGCCGTTTGTTAACCTAAATCTCTTGAGGATTAAACATATGTTTAATGCTTTTATGTGTATATTTAAACTATTTAAAATAGTTTGTTACTGTAATAGAATGAAATACTTTTTCTTCTTCCCCTTCTGTACCATGTAGGATCTGACGAAGCTGAGGAAAAACAAGACAGTGAGAAACCACTTTTAGAACTATGAGTACTACTTTTGTTAAAGTAAGTTTTTGAAATGAAACTGTAACAACAAAATAGTTAAGTATGGGGATTTCCTTTGAGTAGAGTCAAAGTAGAATTCAGAGAACAAGAATATAAGTGGAACCAGATTTGTCTTACTTGCATGAATTTATCAGTCACATTTTATTAATGTCAAGTGTCTTAACATTTTTTGTATAGGTATACATTTGTGAGGTTTGAAAACTAACTCAGATTTCTAAATTTCTGAGGAATAAAGATGAATTTATGTTTGTTTAGTTAGCCAGAATGTTTACATGCAAGTCACCTGCCATTGTTTTAATGACAAGTGCTAATCTCTGTTAAAGGACAGCAGTCTTGTGAGATGCAGGTGCTGTTATCACCTCCATTTGACACTTGAGGCAGTAGAGACACAGAATGGATCACTTAGCTCAGGCTGCATGGCTAGAAGTAAGGGCAGAGCTGGGGCTCGGGCCCATGCTGTCTGGTACCAGGTCCACTTCAGCCCCATGCTGGGATATTTCTCAAAGACTTTGGAGCTTCTGAAATGCAAGCTGCTGTACATCCAAAGCAGTCATGCTTAATGGGCTTCAAAGTAAAACACATTGTTAAATTCCTTTAAATCATCAATGATAATCATTTCGGCCTCATACACAGAAGGCAAATGAGGTAAATTGTAGTAGCAGCAAATCTGCCTGACAGTTTAACCACAGAAGGAAAATGTTGCCGGATTGTAAGTCATTGGGAAGCCAGGACAGAGGCTGACTAGGTGGGAGAGGCAGTCAAGGTCACGGCGCCTGGAGCCCCTGTGCCTGCGTCCTCAGCCCCCCACAAACCTCCACTGCATCTCTCCACCACAGTCATGTAGACACAAAGCAAAAAGGTGGGCGTGCTGGTAGTTGAGCCTTTTCTGAAATATTTTAACATGAATTCTAGTGTGGCCACACCCATGATCCTTCGTGTATCTGTCACAGGCCCTCTTCAGCACACAGACTTTTATGTACACCTAAGGTGACTGTGGCATTTTGTCTTTTAATGCTATTTCTCACATACTTTTGTCTTTTCTCTTTTTCTAAGTGTGAAAAACCCTGGCAGAAAGTCATCGGAGGCAAAAAGAGGCTGACAATGGAGTCTCCCTGTTGACGATAAAATGGTGATGTCCACTGCTGACTTTATTGAACAGCTAATAAAGATTTATTTATTGTAATACCTCACAGACATTGTACCATACCCATGCACATTTAGTCGCCTGCCTGTGGCTTATAAGGTAATGTCATGATTCATTCTCTTTTCAGTGAGACTGAGTCTGATGTGTTAACGAATAGGTGAGGAAAGTCTTGTGCTGTATTCCTAATCAGAAGACTTAATATATTGAAATAACACTTTTTTAGTAAGCAAAATACCTTTTTATTTCAATTCACAGAATGACATTTTTTTGTTTTATGTCTCAGATTTATTTTGTGTTTCTTTTTTAACACCCTATATTCCCTTTGTGTTTTTTAACTCATGCACATGTGCTCTTTGTACAGTTTTAAAAAGTATAATAAAATGCATCATGTCAATGTGGCTAGTTTTATTTTTCTTGTTTTGCATTATGTATATGGCCTAAAGTGTTGGACTTGCAAAGAAAAAAGTGGGATTGTGAATACGTGTAGTGTCACCCGTCATTTATGTTATTTTTATCATGAAATCATGTTTTTCTCTGATTGTTCTGAAATATTCTAAATACTCGTATTTTGAATGCACAAAATGACTTGAACCATTCATATCATGTTTCCTTTGTGTTCAGCCAATTTCAATTAAAATGAACCAAATTATACTGTGTGCTATTTTTTCAAACATGAATATTCCCCTTAATAATTCATGGGAAGTCAGGATGTCTGTTAGTTTTCTTTCATCATCCATTGTGTCATTCAAGAAAAACCCAATTGCCTGTAGTGGTGATGATGCTTGGGTAGAAATGGACCTTTTGTGCATATCAGGTCACTTCTATCTGTGCTTGTTCTAAGAGTGGATCAGATCTCAGCAGTGCAACAGGGAGGCTTGCTGGGAGGCTGGAGTCTAACCAGGATGAGCGTCTCATAGTGGAGAAAAGGCGAGGAAAATCTCAATGTCTGGCCTTGAGACTAAAACCTTAGAACTCAATGGTATTATCTGAGTGAGAATCTCCTGTGTCAGAATTGGAGTTACATATGCACCAAGCCCATAGATGATTAAGCTGCCCATCAGGTTGTTAATTTAACCTGAGAAGGAGCTCTCACCCAGACATGCTGAGGTGAACCCATAGGATGCTGCCAATCCTCAGAGGAAGCCAAAGCTGGCTCAGAAGTCAGCTCTCTAAGCGCAGACCAAGAGGAATGAGGTATAGCATTTGAATGTGCTAGGAAGTCAGACTGTGGAAGCCTACAGTGATTATCTCAACGATGAGTTATATTTTCCTCTGGGACTGCATAGATTCAGCATAGGGGCCAGAACACCCACTCTGCCATGTTTTGGTGGGGTAGGAGTGGAGCTGTTTTTCCTTTATGCTCACATTGCTGAGCAATCCTCTGATGGACCCCTGTCACTCATTTATCTGATGTTAATGTCCTCTAGTAATCCTTGCTCTGGTTGACACCGAAGCCATTTTGTCTCTGTAGAAGGACTTCATATGATTCCATTTATGACATTCAGTTATACAGTTGAACTCAGGGCTTCTGTATCCTGGAATTCCTGTGGAGAAAGAAGCAAAACCCTGTTCCCCACATCTATGATCTACCTGTCCTAATAGGTTCAGGAGTCTTGTGTCACCCTGTTTACACTCAGGAAATGAAACCAAAGACACTAGCGTCTTTGAATCAGGTACTTCTGGAAGTACAGATACTGGGTGGAATGTTAGGATCACATCTGTACTGCAAGATGTCCTCTGCTTTTTGGAACAGTGTCATGGGAATGTACCGAAGTTACAGTGTCTGAACGGTCCTGGGCATCAGATTCCCAACTCTCCTAGTAGCTAATGAACCTTGAATATCAAATGCAAATGCAGGGAGCCCCACCTACCCACAGTGTGCAGAATGTGTTTGATAGCAATCGTGTATGTGTGAAGATGGATATTTTATTTCCATTAGCCGTGGGCTCTTGAAAGTGAGCAAAGTTGCTTGTGGTTTAACTGTCCTCATTTTGTCTTACAACACCCTAGCCACCCCTTGCACAGCCCCAACCAGTAGGGGCAGGTTTGACTTTGAGCATTTTCCACGAATCAACCACATTTGACAGAGCACGTAAACAAAAGAAGCCTGAGAAAATACAACACAGCCACATCAGCACCCTCCCACCAGCCACTCTGCCTCCTCCACCACCACCACTGCGTTCCCTGTCTACACTGCTGAAGTTCCGGGCAGCCCAGCCTGCGTTGGGGAAGGAAATTGCTAAGAAGTGTGAAACCACAGGTGGCATTGCCCAGTACCCCAGCCAGTGATGTCAGCCGCACAAAGCCCTTAGTGATTTGAAAGTTTCCTCTCCCAATGCCGAAATCATTCCAGATTTCTTTAGAGAGGCCAGGTATTTGCCCTAAAGAGATCCAGTCAATTCATGAGAATCAAGGAATATATCTAAATTAAATTTGATATTTCTTAAGTCTGTTTGGTCTTACTTTGTTACAAATAGGATTCTCTACTTAGTTTCCAAAATAACATGTTTCACACAACCTGAAGCTGATTGTAAGCAAACAAAAAAACATTCTCAATGTTCAGTAACACATTGTTTTAATTCTCATATATATAAATGTTTACCTTTTAAAAGGATTCACTAGAGAAAACAGAAAACACACAACCACTTGTCATGTTTTCACCCACCTACCATACATTGAACATTTTGTTTTATCTTTGTCTGCAGAAATACACAGACACACATATAAATGAGTGTCATGCCTATTTATACTGTTACTCTGGAAAGAAGTGGTCAAGGGACATGAACAAATATGGCATGGATAATATAAAATAGACCTTAAACATAAAAACATGTTTATCTTCACTCACAGTAAAGAAAAAAAGCAAATTGAAACCACAATGTGATACCATTTTCACCTATCAAATTAGTAAAACTTCAATGTTAGCAGTATGCTCTCAGCACTCACACACTTTGCTGGAGAAGGGACTAAGGCTATTTCTATGGAGGGCAGGTTGGCAGTACCTATCAGAATTACCAGGGCACATGTTCAAATGACATAAAACACTATTATTTATTTCAGTGTTTTTTGTAATAGCAAAAGATTGGAACTAAACCAAGGCATTGATTAAAAGTATGATCACCAGTGAAAAATACCTGTAGTTAGCTGGGCACGGTGGCTCGCTCACGCCTATAATCCCAGCACATTGGGAGGCTGAGGCGGGTGGATCACTTGAGATCAGGAGTTCGAGACCAGCTTGGCCAACATGGTGAAACCCTGTCTCTACTAAAAATACAAAAATCAGTTGGGCATGGTGGTGGTAGCCTGTAATCCCAGCTACTCAAGAGGCTGAGGCAGGAGAATCGCTTGAACCCCGGAGGCAGAGGTTGCAGTGAGCCGAGATCAACCACTGCACTCCAGCCTCGTCAATAGTGCAAGACCGTCTCAAAAAAGAAAAATACCTGCAGTGTAGTGTCCCTGTATACAGACATAAAAAGAGTTCTAGGATTTATGAATGAAAAGAGATGTGCAGAATAATGTATATTGTATATTCCCTATGTAAGAAGGGGAAATGAGAACATATCTACATGTACATGTATACTTACATATGCACATCATATTTAAATAAAAATTCGAGTGTTTTTGAAGTGTGTAAATGTTCAAATGTGTTTATTGCACAATAGGATTAATAGGATTATGCTATGAATATTATTTCTCAGCACCACAACACCACTCATCTATTTTCCAGTTTTTAACCCATTTCTTATTTGCCCCCAAAATACTCATCTCTAATCCTAATGTAACAGAAGTGTATATGATGTTACATTAGGATAAGAGACAATTTTTGTTTAGAAAACTCCAACAACAGTTTTTATATTTTATTTTCACATTGAAAACCAGTCAGATTTACTTCGGCCTCAAAGAGCATGTTTATGTAAAGTTAAATGAGCACTGGCAGCGAGCTGCACTTTTTCTGAATAGGAAATGAGTTAAACAAGCTACACATTTTTTAAGATGCATGTTGGACTCTATGACTTTCTGATTGTTCATCTGGGTTAATTTGGGGCTGTTTGAAATAGTGCCATTGTGAATGAACATCCTTGCACATAAATCTTGGTACACACGTTTTGTTTCCTTGAGAAATAGATGGATTCCATGAAAACGACACCTTCCAGGTGGCATGGGTTCCACACGTGTGTAGTGGCTCTGTGATGTTTCCTCATGGCTTGCATGGAGCAGAGCTGAAGTTCAGGCACTATTTCAGTCACTTGCTGGCCTCCACCCTGGCTGCACATTAGAATTATGAAAGCAGGGTTTTCCAAAGCCCTGATGCCTGGTCTGTGATAGAGGCTCCCAAAAGGAGAGCCTCTGGTAGGATGGATAAGGCAGCAGGTCTTAAATCAGACAGTCCTGGAATCATGTGAACTCTGGGACTCACTCAGTGATTAACTGGGCATATTTTTTTAACCTCAAGGCCTGGTTTTCTTATCAGTGAAATGAGTATAGTAGCTGTAAGGTGATGCAGTTGAGAGCATTAGAGAGAGAGAATGCAAGCTGCTGAGCAGAATTCCTGGTGCTCAGTAAGTGGTTGGTACTCACTATTACTCAAATACAGCAGAAAAAGCAAACAAATGAAAGAGAACCTAACAAAACATAATGGAAACTATGTATTTACTCAAATAATTTTTCAGGGCTAAGGGAAATCTTGAGTTTCTAGCTGTTTGGCTACATTGTATTGGTGTAGTATCTCTGGCTATCTCATTACTCAGAATTGCTCACTGGCAGTTAATAGGACTTTGATTAGCACAACAGGGAAAAGAAAGCATTAACTGTGACCTTCGTGATAGGCCAAAACCCTTCAAAAATGAAATCTATGAGGGAAGGAATTCCAGAACAGTAGAAAGAATGCATAATTATAAATATTTTGAGAACTGTTGCACTGAAGTTTTCCTTTTTTATAGTTGAGAAATATATGCAGTTGTTTTAATAATTTTTTTCTTTTTTTGGTTGACAAGTGTATGAAGTTCGCTAGCTCTGTGGTGACTATTGAGACATGTTTTTATGTAGAACTGTAAAAATCTTTGCCCAATTTTCCCATTGCACACCTGTGGGTGCTGCCTGTTCTGTACTATTTAATCCAACCATGTGCTTTGGTCTTTAATTACAGAAGTCCTATTTGGTGGATGGGAGCTCAGCATGTAAGTCTCACCAGCATTGAAAAACTGGCAGGTTGGCCTACAACTCTCTAATTATCTGAACAGCATAGGAGCAAGGAGTGGGAATGTGAACAGCTAAAGAGGAAGTTTTCTTCCCAGTTCTTAGCGTAATAAGGAAGGACATTTTCCTGTTTTAATTGAAACTACAAGTAACCTGTTTTCACCCTATGAGGAAATAATATAGAAGGTAAGAGCAGCGCTCCTGGAGCCAGGCTGCTTGAGTTCAAATCTCAGCTCTGTTTCTTAGTAGCTATTTGGCTATGGGAAAGTTCTTTAGCCCCCTCTGCCTCAGTTTCTCCATCCATAGAACAAAGGTAATTGTACATACAGAGTTTTTGTGAGAATTAAATGAGTGAACACATCCTTAAGCCAGCACTAGATACATGGTGAGCACTATATGAGTGACTGCTATCATTACTTCATCAGGATGTTAATCACTGAATTTGTAACTTTAGGTAGAAATCTGAAATTATTTAATCTAAGCACATTCTTCTAAAGACAGATGACCTTAGGTAATGTGAGATGATTAAGAACAAATGGGAGCTGGGTGTGGTGGTTCACACCTGTAATCCTAGCACTTTGGGAGACCGAGGTGGGCAGATCACCTGAGGTCAGCAGTTGGAGACCAGCCTGGCCAACATGGCAAAACCCAATCTCTACTAAAATTACCTGCTTATGGTGGTGGGTGCCTGTAATCCTGGCTACTTGGGAAACTGAGGCAGGAGAATCACTTTAACCTGGGAGGCGACAGTTGCAGTAAGCCAAGATTGCATCACTGCACTCTAGCCTAGGTGACGGAATGAGGCTCCATCTCAAAAAAAAAAAAAAAGAAAGAAAGAAAGAAAGAAAGAAAAAAGAAAAAGAAAGCAACTGGTACAGCTAGTTAGAGCCAGATCAAGTGGCCAGGGCTCTAACTAGCTGTGAAGTGTGACTAGTATTCCTCCTGCACCATGTGCCTTCCCTATATGTGGTAGCTGTGCCATGGTAGAAGTGTGCTAGACCAAGAAGGATGCATAACTTCTACCTCCTACCTCAGAAATGCACCAAGATGTTCCAAAGAATCTCCTCCAAGGTGATTCTGCAGATCTCTGGGCCTGTTTAGTCTCTGGGAGGAGCTGGGGTGTCCGAATGCTATACATAACCAGAGAGCACCATTAACTGTGCCTGAGACAGTCCATTAGCACCCTCAACAAGAGCAGCTGCACATCTAGGACACACACTCTCAGAGACAGAATTTCTATACTCTTTACAGCCAGTGACGCAATTATCGTAATTCCAGAGTAGGTCAATTTTACCCAAAGAGAAAAACAAATGGGAAATTAGTGACGAACCAGTAGCTTGGAGAATAGATGAGGAGAAAACACAAGTTTTCCTCATTTCCTTAAGAAAATTCTCTGACTCCCAGAAGGATGCCTTTAGTAAAGAAACAATGCATATTTTTGTTTTGTTTTCCCCAGTTGAAAATATGAAAAAAAAGATGTTATGTTGGATAAATATGTGTGTGTTTGTGTGTGTATGAATATATGGGCTCTGGGTTCAGAGACACCTAGCTTTAAATTATGACTATTACTTTAAAAATGGTGACCTTGAGTAGATAATTTAGTCTTTCTAATCTATAAAGTGTGAGCCTTAATTGTACTGACCTCAACTGGCTCATCAAGGATTTCTGGATGCCTGGTGCATAGCAGATACTCACTGAGTCCGTATTCCCACCACCTAACCTCTCTGCAGAGAGGTAAGAGTAGAGCTCACTGTTAGTGCTTTTGCATATGTGTGGAATCTACTATGAAAGGAAAAGAAAAACTCAGGACCCCAATTCACCATGCTATTTTTTTTTAGAATAAAAATGAGCCAGGTTGGGGTGCTGGCTCATGCCTGTAATCCCAGCACTTTGGGAGACCGAGGCGGGCAGATCACAAGGTCAGGAGATCGAGACCATCCTGTCCAACATGGTGAAACTTCGTTTCTACTAAAATATTTTAAAAATTAGCCGGGTGTGGTGCTGCGTGCCTATAGTCCCAGCTACTCAAGAGGCTGAGGCAAGGTAATCGCTGGAACCTGGGAGGTGGAGGTTGCAATGAGCCGAGATCACCCCACTGCACTTCATCCTGGCGACAGAGCGAGATTCTGTCTCGAAAAAAGGAATAAAGAACCCAAAAACTTGGTCATGCAAGAAACTGCCTTTCCTTTTGTGCCTACACAGACAGCTACAGATAAAAGGTTAAATAGCTCCAGAGGTAGCTACTCTATGTTCACCCTATCTTATGTAAAGTGCTGATTTACTGAGTGCAACATGAATACATAATTGGCACTTCCCCTGCCTGCTCTCTTGCTCTTACAACATGTGGACTGTGACACTCTCCCTCTTTCTTCTCCAGCCCACTTATCCTTTTTAAATGTCGAGGCCCTCAAATTCATCTTTGGAGAAAGAAACAGATCATAGACTGTTTCTGTGATTCCGTGTTATTTTCTTCTGGGCATGCCCTTAACCTGGGCAAAATAAACTTCTCAGTTGATTGAGGCCTGTGTCAGATACTTTTTGGTTTATTACTGTAGTGTAGAACTACCAACAGTGCGTGCTGATACTGCAGAGGGCTTGCATGTGCCAGGTGTAATTAACTCATCTAATCCACATAACTCCAGGAAACGGTGCATTATGACTTCATTTTGCACGAGGAGATTATGGCACATAGAGTTCCTGTAACTTGCCTGAGGTCACACAGATACTAAATACCATACCCAGGATTCCGGAGACCAGAAAGCATGTGCTTAACCTCTCCATCACGCTGCCTCTTTGGTGTTAGGACAGCTCTCATGAGGATATTGTGAGGATCAGGAAACACAGTGTCTGTGAAACACACTAGAGCTGAGCTCACACAGTACGCGTCACAGTAGATGGTGTCCGATTGCCATTGGAATGTCCTAAACCAAATGAATTTTACCCAGGTGACCTTTAAAAAAGAAGCCACATTGGCTCCTTCATTTGGTTGTGAGTCCTCTTAGAAGGTGTCCTAACCACCATCTCAGGGAAATAATTAGAAATGAGGTGTTGGACCATTCTTACAACCAACACAGAATTCCATAGCCCAGTTGCCATGCTGTGTCTTACCTTGGATGTTCAATTCAATGTCACCCAATTAAAATACACATGGACAAAAGTCAACTTTTCATTTTTAAAAAATTTATTTTGCCTATTATGAAAAACACACCACATAATTTAACTAGCAAAGAAGGCTGCTTCAGGGCATGTAAAATGAAAGGCTTCCAGGCAGTTTTCTGACTAAAGAACACTAAGGGAGGAACGAGGCTAGAAGCCGCAGGCTGTCTACACTATGGCAGTGGCTATTTGGGTTGGCTGGAGGAGCTACGGAGAATTTGGAGAGAGTGGTGCTAGAGACTGCCATGGCTATTCCTCATTGTTATTACAGAGTGAGGTTTTCTGTGTGCCCGCTGGTTTGAAAACAATTATATAATAATGACAGAATAGCACACACATGAGAACTGAAATAGCCCCGACCCAGGAAAAAAGCCCAGCTAGATCCTCAGCAGACGCTTCTAAAGACAATAAATGATGAAGAAAAGATGGCCTCCTTATGCCACCATCTCTTACGATCTCTCCCCATTGCAGCAGGCAGCCGTTCCTCTAAGCAGAGAGAAGGTGATGATGGCAAAATAGACCACACTCTTGAGGAGCAGGAGGAGGTACGTGTAATATGCAGCGGTGTTTGTGAGCTGCAGCAGCAGTGCATCTAAGAGAAATTTCACATGTTCTTTTTTCAGACTGAGATATATTATTGGGAGACGGGTTCACAAATACTTACTTCTCATGATCTACATTGCAGTGATATTCCACCACCACCAAAACCCAAAAGTAAACATCTACTACTACCACCACCACCAAGAGCACAACAAGTCAGAATTCAGCTTTCAAGTTGATTAACAACCTCTGCTAAATTCAGTTGGAACATTCCAAACTATTAAAAAGCAAGGTTGCATTGTTGAAAATCAAAGAAAGTGGTTAATCCGGATTCGCCGATGTGTTAGGTAGTTGTGGCACACTGACCTGTCTCTCCTACATGTCTCTAATTATGGCTATGCTATTATTGGGTGGTATCATTTAATATCATTTGAGCTTTTGCAAGATATATGTGATGTCAAGGCATAAGTAAAGACAATGATGGTGGACCACCGTGGCTAGTCAATTAGCTACAAGGCTGAGTCTCTTCCTGTGGAAATTTCCACGTTACACGTTTTGTCTTCCTAAAGTCAGAAATCTAGAAACATCACTCCTTGGTGTGGAAAAGGATCTCAAGAAGTGATGTGTTTATAACTCCCTGCCCTTGGTTAAGTGAGGTGTTACCACCCCTCCTTGCCTGGTGCGGCAGCTGAAGTCCAGAGCCCCCTTGGTATTGGAAATAGAGGAAAGTTGAGCAGGGCTAGAGCCCGTGCTTCTAGTCACATTCTTTGTGCGAATGTAGAGGGAAAAGGCCAGAAACCAGTACTGATTCTGTGTCTGCTAAATGAGATATGCTATGCCAGACATCTCACATGCATGCCCTTATCTCTTCAATAACCGTGAATCTGGTGTACTTGTTCTTGGTTGGCTGATGAGAAAAATGTTACTCACAAAATACAGGTCATTTACATCTAATCATTAAAAGAGCTGGAGTTAAAGTCCAGTCTGCAAAGCCTAGGAACCCAGCCATCCCCACATTATGTCCATTTTGTCTCAGGTCCCTGGCTCTGGCATTTCTTGCTATCTGACTCTATTATAGAAAAAAAAATACAGAACTTAGTAAGTGCATGGACTCTTTACTTGATGGCCTGATTTGAAATCCCAGAACTAGCTGTGCGACGTGTATAAAGGATTTGTATAATTATTTGCTTTAAAGGGACTGTAAAATGGGAGAAGAAAATGTTGTACCATTTTATAGAAGTATTAAGAGGATTAAACAAGAAAGTACAGGACATAGCCCAAGCCCGTCTGTGTAAAAAGCACTCGATAAACACTAGGTCGTGTTATTAGCTAGTAGCAAGTGCAAAGACTAAAACAAAGCAACTCTAGAAGCAACATGGTATCATGTTTCTTCAGTCATGAAAACAAAAAACACAGGAATGAAGTCTCTCTTTTGAAATAATTAAAAGCATATCACTGTATCCCCTAATTTACAGTCATCTCATACCCAAAGCAGTAGTCTGCTTTGTTAATACAACTCCCAGAAAATGAGGGACTAATGTAAAATATCGCTAAGTTCATTCTGCAACATCCAACCTAGAAAAATCCACTTCCTGATTTTTCAAGCCAGAGAAGTTGAAAAGTTAAAATGATCAGGATGAAATAAAAAACACAAAAACTTACCACTTGTATCTTTTGAACAACTGTCTTTGGGATCCATTGAGATGACATCTAGAAGAATGAGAGCAAGTGCTAGTCAATTGTTCATGCTCATTATTTGCCAAGGGGTGTGTGTGTGTGTGTGTGTGTGTTGTGTAATTAAATGAATATTTATAAAAATCTGTCAACAGAGAGGCAGAAGGACAGTTATTAAAAATATGAATCCAAACTTCCAGAAATAATTGGTCTGATTCTATGTAATTAGGTAGATTTAATTCATATATTGCGTTTTGCACATAAAAATGTTAAAGTTCATGAAGGATACATATTTTTTCTTCTTTTATCAGAACTGGAGTGTAGTATCCAAGACCATTTGGTTTTCCTTCTATATTCATAGCTCCTAACACAGTGCCTGCCACAAAGTATGTTTCTGATAAATGCTTGTTCAATGGAAAAACAAACCGAGCAAGTGGCTGCTTTACAGTCTTCAGCGCACACTGTGTCATGAAATCAGCAAAAAGAATAATTTGGGGATTTTTTTTGAGGGAGAGTCTCACTGTCACCCAGACTGAAGTGGAGTACAGCAGTGTCATCAAAGCTTATTGAAGCCTCAACCTCCCCAGGCTCAGGTGATCCTCCCATCAGCCTCCTGAGTAGCTGGGACTACAGGCACACACCACCATGCCCAGCTAATCTTTTGTATTTTTTGTAGAGACAAGGTTTCGCCATCTTGTCCAGCTGATCTCGAAAATCCTGGGCTCAAACAATCTTCCTGCTTTGTTCTCCCAAAATGCTGGGATTACAGGGATGAGTCACCACACCTGGCAAAGAATCCTTTCAGTTCTAGAATCCGCAACAGAATCTTACATGTTTGAAGGAGTCTGGCTTAGGAAAATTCTCATCTAACCAGAAAAAAGCAGTCATACCTTTCCAAATCATGCATATCCCCGAGGTCCCCAGTTCGAACACATGATTTTCTGGAGGTATAGTGTTTCTGGACATAACAATATTAATAAAAGCTAATATCTACTGAGTGCTCATTATTGCGCCAGGCACTATGTTAAATGCTTCCCATGCATTTTTTTGTTTGTTTGTTTAATTCCCCAATAACAGTTAAGTGAGTTGTGTTATGAATAGCCCCATGTTCTGAATGAGGAAATAACGTTTAAAAAGTGCAGACAAGGCCGGGAGCAGTGGCTCACTTTGGGAGGCCGGGTGGGCAGATCACGAGGTCAGGAGATTGAGGCCATCCTGGCTAACATGGCGAAACGCTGTCTCTGCTAAAAATACAAAAAATTAACCGTGCGTGGTGGCACGCGCCAGTAGTCCCAGCTACTTGGGAGACTGAGGCAGGAGAATTGCTTGAACCCGAGAGGCAGAGGCTGCAGTGAGGCGAGATTGCTCCACTGCACTCCAGCATGGGCAACAGAGATTCTGTCATAAAAAAAAAAAAAAAGTTCAGGCAACTTGCCGAGAATCCTTCCAGTGAATAGCAGAGCCGGTATTCAGAGAGTAGTTGTAAGGCAATAAAAGAAATTGCACACGTCTTCCGGTCTTTCTGGGCTCGGCCGCAGAAGCAAGATGACGAAGGGAACGTCACCGTTTGGGAAGCATCGCAATAAGACCCTCGCGTTGCGCCGCCGCTGTGGCTCTAAGGCCTACCACCTCAGAAGTCCACCTGTGGCAAATGTGGCTGCCCCGCCAAGCGCAAGAGAAAGTATAACGGGAGTGCCAAGGCTAAAAGACGAAATACCGCCGGGACTGGTCGAATGAGGCACCTAAAATTGTATGCCGCAGATTCAGGCATGGATTCCGTGAGGGAACAACACCTAAACCCAAGAGGGCAGCTGTTGCAGCATCCAGTTCATCTTAAGAATTTCAGCGATTAGTCACACAATAAATGTTCTGGTTTTAAAAATAAAAATAAAGAAATTGGACATGTGAAAAGTACTTTGTAGAAATAATCCACAGAAATAGATATAAAGTAATTTATAAAGAGACAATATAATTTCACCATTGTGTACTCTAAGAAAATCTCTTTCAGTATGTTAGTTATTCTCAGCAAATGGTCTTTTTTATTACAGGAGCTCAGCATCTTAGTGTAATTATTTTTGACTCTAGAAAGAGAGGTCAAGGTCAAGCCACATTGATAGTTCTCTGAATAAAACCTGAGGTGAGAGCGGAATTTATCTGTGATGTTAAAAAAAAAAAAAAAAAAAAGGGAAGCAACAAACATGGATGCAAAAAAAACATATTTTAAAACAGATAGAAGAAAAGAGAGTCATATTGGTGTTTGGTTTATTATTTTTCGAGTAGATGTATTCCTGTCTATACGGATATGATTCTGTTCAGTGAGATCTTTATTTCGTGTATTCTATGAAATGGACTTGAGGTATAGGTTCTGGGTAAGTCTCACAGATGAAAATGTTAGTTTCCATGTCTCATGTCCAAATATCTTTAAGGTCTAACTTTAAAGGGTTTTCAATGTCTTTTTATTTTCCTTATGGTGGCTTTATTTATTAAAAGGTAAATGGAAATGACTATAACTTATTTCTATGCATTGACTGAGGCAAAAAATAAAGTAACAATTCCTCATAATAAAACCTGTAAGTGTATCCTGAGTTCCCTCTCTCACAATCATGGTTGGTTGCCAATGTGGACCAGATTTCGTTTTATCTCCTTTTTATTACAGGAGCTCAGCATCTTAGTGCAATTATTTCTGGGACTAGAAAGGTCAAGGTCAAGTCACATTGAAGTGCTTCAAAAACACTTCATTATTACATAATATGATCACTTCCTTGTTATATTTTTAGCTTTTATCAGAAAAACAAACTTCCAATAAAGAGCACTAGAAATCTACTGGTAGAATGACATTAAGAGAAGAGTCCTTCTTAACTTAGTTGTCTTGAGAAACACATGAAAGACATTTTACTTTCAGGCTGAGAGCGGTGGCTCACACCTGTAATCCCAGCACTTTGGGAAGACGAGGCAGATGGATCACAAGTTCAGGAGTTCGAGACCAGCCTGGCCAACATGCTGAAACCCCATCTCTACTAAAAATACAAAAATTAGCCAAGTATGGTGGCAGGTGCCTGTAATACCAACTACTCAGGGGGCTGAGGTAGGAGAATCACTTGCACCAGGGAGGTGGAAGTTGCAGTGAGCTGAGATCCCACCACAGCACTCCAGCCTGGGCGATGAGAGTGAAACTCCGTCTCAAAAAAAAAAAAAATTTTTTTTACTTTTAGAATTTAGTGTAAAGTAAAACACACTATAAAACTGTAACTTCTTTCCCGTATGATATTCACTGCACTGTAACTTACTATACTTTTTATTTTGCACTGATCACTAGAAAAATCAGAACCTGGCAGGGCGCAATGCCTCACACCTCTTATCTCAGCATTTTGGGAGGCTGAGGTGGGCAGATCAATTGAGGTCAGGAGTTTGAGACCAGCCTGACCAATATGGAGAAATCCCGTCTCTACTAAAAATACAAAATTAGCAGGGCGTGGTGGCATGTGTCTATAATCCCAGCTACTTGAGAGGCTGAGGCAGGAGAATCACTTGAACCTGGAAGGTGGAGGCTGTGGTGAGCTGAAATCGCACCACTGCACTCCAGCCCAGGCAACAGTACAAGACTCGGTCTCAAAAAAAGAAAAAGAAAGAAAACGAAAAGAGAAGAAAAATCAGAACTTACTAAGTGGACATTTAAGCACAGGGGTAAGACTAACCTCAAGCTTTGCACATTTGTCTCCCCTTTGTGCCTCAGCAAAGGAAATAGAAAATTGGGACTGTTTTTTAACCCTACTTCAGTTAGTTTTAGGAAAGGCTGTGCCTAATACACTAAATACACAAATGAACACATCCATGCTAGCGTTTTGAAAGCAAGCCATTTTCCCATTTTCCCTGCCATTGTTTTCTTTGCTCTTCATCATAGCCCCAGGAGCAAGTCAAGGGAACTCTTGAAATCACATTTGATCACTGCAGAAACTCAGGATCCGAGAAGCTAAAGACTTGCCCTAGAAATCTGGAATGGTACATGGCAAAGGTCTGCAAACATTTTGTTAATGCTCATTCCCTGCTAGCTAAAAAGGACATGTTAACCACAGGGAAAAGCACAAAATGGGTCTTTTTCATGGCCACTCTGGAGCTGCTGGACTGTTATATTCATACTCAGAATTTTGACACATAGTGAGGGCTTGGACCACTGGGCCAGGGCACGTTCAGCCCTCTGCCTGATTGTCTGGAGATCTACACAATCTGCATCAAAGGCACTGTTTTGGGACCTCGTGCATGAATCGTGGGTGACCCTGAGTGATCAGGAAAAAAGTACATTCTCTGCACTGTCATGCATCGTCCTTGGGACAGTAACTCATCCTACTCTGTTCATCCACATTTCCACAGCCTGAGCCTGGCAAGTCATCATAGTACAATTAATGTTTGTTAAGCTGCACTCACCAATGGCAGAAAATGCATTTATTATGGAAAATGGAAGAACGTTTGTACAGGTAAGCCTTACCAACCTTTAATTATGAAATGTTACCATATGGTAATATATAAAATAAAAATCCGAAAAACCCAAGGCCTTCATAAAACTGCAGGGGCCAAGACTATTATCTGTTGTGTAGAGCCACATTTTGGCTTCTTCAGATAAATGTCATTTTGTCAACAACGAACCCATCGTTTCTAAGTTAAACTTTGTGGGTAGGAAGAGTGAGGTGAGTGGCTCTTCCTGCTTGGGTAGAACATTCCTGAAATACGTATACTTGTTCGTATTTTCCAATCAAGTGAAGTCATCAAAAGAAGGGAGAACTCTTTTTGAGCATTTACCATGTGCTAGGTTGCTAGATGCTTCCATGTATGTTCTTTCCTTTAATCCAACTAACAACGCTAAAAAACAGCATTTCACTTCCTTATTTTGGATAATGGAGCTGAGTCTGAGAAAGCTTCAGTAACTTTTTCCATTTTGTTTTCTCCAAAACCTATACCATTTTAATTCTGTAGAAAAATAGCAGGGTGTTTATGCTACCATTAAGTATAACAACATTTAAGAAAGATTTATGTTTGTTTTTCATTAATACTGAAAGAAAAAAAGTGCAGTATTCCCTTTCAAAGAAGTGTTCTGAGAGATGATATGTATAGACACGTACCTGTCTTTATTGGAGGAAAGATAATTTCTTGATCAACTCCTTTTTTGTTATTCTCATGTCTGACGATACATCTGTGTTCTTTATGCAGTGACTTTTCTGGCACCGTTAACCAGCTAAATTTCATGTATGTTTCATTAGTCTTCATGGTGTTTCCCTCCTGGGATTCCAGAATCGTGTTGCTATTCTTTTCTTGCCAATGTATATTAATAACATCCGGGAAAAATTTCTCAAGAAGACAAAGATATGTTCCAGCCTTGTGGAGTTTTGTTTCAGCAATTGAAGGAAGAAAAACAGTGGGCTTGGGGGAAATGTCTGCACCAATATATTCATCTATGGGGAGAAATGGAATATGAATTTAAAAGAATTATTAGAGAAACACACACATGGCATGTTTTGGAATGGTCTAGTACATAACAACAAAAAGAGAAGTTGCTAGTGAGCTGGTGTCCACCATGGCCTTTCACCCAGGATAGGTTGCACAGTACTTATTATTGTGCTTATTTTACAGATGTTGAAAAGAGGATTAAGAAATTAAATAACTTGCCAAAAGTCACAGCTCTCAACTGTCAGTTGCTGGATGAAAACCTGGCCTTTGTTTATTTTGCCCATGCTGTGATGGAGTATGATTTTTAACTGCCTCCTACCAAGGCTTCCAACGTTCATGAACATATTCACTTTATTTTTTAATCTCTTATTTCATCACAGTGAAGCATGTTTTCAAAGTGGATGGCAGGGGAAAGGGGAAGAAGATCAGATAACTTTAAAGATCTCTCTACAGATGAGACTCTTTGGTCCTTATCCCACTTCCCTTTCCCATCCTTTATAACTTATATTCTTTGGCCAAATAACATACGTTCTTATGTTCCACAATTTTGCATACTCCCACTCTTCATTTACCTATTCTGTGATATGCCATATTTACTTTATTAATTTTTTTTTTTAGACTGGGGCTTGCTCTGTTGCCCAGGCTGGAATGCAGTGGCACAATCATGGCTCACTCCAGCCTCAACTTTCCAGGCTCAAGTGATCCTCCCACCTCAGCCTCCCAAGTAGCTGGGACTACAGGCATGCACCACCATGCCTGGTTAATATTTGTTTGTCGCAGAGACACGTTTCACCATGTTAACCAGGCTAGTCTGAAACTCCTGCACTCAAGTGATCTGCCTGCCTCAGCCTCCCAAAGTGTTGGAATTATAGGTGTGAGCCACCATGCCTAGCCATTTTTTTTTCACTTTTATTGTTAACAATATATACACAGTCACTTGCTTTAGTGGGAGTCTACTTCCACATATACATACTGTCTATCAAGTTGACCGGGTAGTTTCAATGAGTATACCATGCGCAGTCCTTCCAGTTAATATCTAACTTTGTATAATATCTCAATTTCACATCCGCACCCTCCAGGTTTTTGAGTGAGCCAGTATTTACAGTTGTACCTCCAAATCATTCACCATGTCTTGAATTTAGAAGCAAAATGGCAACATTTGCAAAACTCCTATTAAAAAGTTTTATTGATTTTCAGAAATACTCTTGTATTAATCTTATCCAGTAATGCACTTACCAAAATTTTGTTTTGCTTTAGAAAATATTAACCAAAAGCACATTCTATATTGGAATTTCATTTGAAGTTTAAGCATAACTAAGAATGCACCAGGGGTATGTTTTTTAGACTGGTTTTTATAAATTTGCCCTATTAATGAGAAGATCTGTGTAAATCAGCATATCTATATTTTGACTTTTGATGTCTCTCCCAGAATTTGTATCTGTCCTATATGCGACGTAACTGTTTTAAAGCTCCATTATTGTCTTTGTCTTAGCCTGCTGAATAAAATGTGTATGTAATTGCTGTATTAAAAGTCATGATTCCAGAGTTTCTTATAGGCATAGGGTCAAGATACATAATGAAACATTATACATTTACAAGACATATCACTGGAATCTGGAATGTTAATGGGTTATACATTTACTTTTAATCAAATAACAAATTATAAATGTTGCATTTCTTTCTAATTTGATTTCCAATTGAAACTCAAATGCTTTGGCTGGTTTGAAGTGAGTTTGATAATTGAACAATTTCTTTAAAAAGTAAGAATTAAATTTCTCATTTGAGAATAAAAGAAAAAAATTCTTGATGATTTGCATTTGTGTAGCAAAGCTTCTGATTTTTACACAAAATTAGTAAACATATACAGTAAGATTAATTTTTGAGCATGCTATAAATTTAATTAGGCATAATGGGCTTATTTTAATTTCATATACTTTGCTTTTAGTGCAAATAGTATTTTGCTTGTTATAGTTGTAAGACAGTGTATATTTCTCCACTATGTAGTTTGTTTCTACTTTTAAAAGCATGTTATAAAATATAAGATTAATTTTTTAATTGTACATTATATGTATATAATTTTAGTCTCTAATCAATATATTTTCAAATCTAATTTTCATCTTGGGAACTGGTGTCTCTTCTTGGAAATACTTCCTATTCATCGTACTAAGGAAATTAAAAATCAAGTGATAAACTTGGACATATTCTGTATGGTGCCACAGCATTCATTGCCTCTTGTCCCTTTTCTTTAGCTAGATTCTTTCAGTTTCATTCTTTTCAGGACAAAATGAATCTGGAATTCCCATAACTTTTTCAGTGTAACAGTTAACTAATCATTAAATAGCATACTTGATGATACATGGTAAGGGCCGATATTCTGGATCATCTTATCACATGATTTTTTAAAATGTACATCTTAAGAGTGTTTTTATGGTCAAAATTTTTTTATAATGCATAGAATGGCAACCATTCTACTTACTTCAATGATAAATAGAATTTATATATTTTATTTATTTAAAATAATAAACCTGCTGGATTCATTTGTGTACATTTGTTTGCATAATCAAATAGTATATTTGAGTTAAATTGCCTGTTGTTTGTTGCTTATTAAAATGCAGCAGTAAACTCTATGTAAATTTACCAAATATCAACTATATTTTCTATAGACAGTATGATATATTAAATTTACATATGAATACTTATTTAAGTGTTCTCTTTTGCTTGTTTCATTAGATAAATAGTTATAGCTATTTTATATTTAAATATGTATTTCAGATTTATGTTTCCAACTGTATTTAATTGATTTGACATCTTGACCATTTTTTGTAAGATTTTAACCTTTTTTTTTCTGAAATGTATAAACAGCACCCTAAACTAATTGGCGATAAATCTTAGAACAAATATGTTGGTGTTAAAAATTATATCAATTAAGATAAAGGATTATGTAAAGCACATAGGACTACAAAAATAAAAAATAAACATCTTAATATAATTTTTTGCCAAGTGATTAAAAAGTCTGCTAACAAGAAATGAATTGATATTTCTAAGTTCAATTTGTGTGTGTGTGTGAGTGGATTTTAAGATAAGCTTCCGTTTGAGCAGTTAGACGTACAGCTGAATTCTCTGGAGAATTGCTGTTCTGTAAATTCCATGGGCTGAAAGCAACTCTGCATAGTAGATCCCATTCTCTCTTTACATGCGAATCCAGAGAATACTTGTTGGGCACCTATTTTGTGTTGGACAGTGTGCCAAGTACTTAATTCACACTATCTTCTTCAATTTTCATACAACCTTGCTGAATGTATACTGCTATCCCATTTTATGGATTAGAAAGCTGAGGACAGAGAATAATCACCCAAGTTTGCTAAGCAGTAAGTGGTGGAGCTGGAGTTCCAGGTCGATCTGACTCCAACACCCGGCTTCTTTCACAACATGCTGGACCATCAGAGGTGAACATGCGCCCACCTGATAGAGTCTATCACAAACTTACCTGTCATAATACATTTTGCTCAGGGACAAATATTTTAATAACATTTCATACATCATATGTGAGTACTTTATAGAAGTCCATATATGCACAAAGCCAAATCCTATTATGATATTTGTACAATATAATCTAGGTTCTCTTTTAGTATAAGCATTTGTTTTAAAGTCTCTCCTAAGATTTCTACATCAAATCCCCATCAAATTCCTCTTTTTTTCTAAACATTATTACATTGTTCCAATTTAATCATTTCTTGCCTTCCCTCTATTACCTTGGAAATATTGTATTCTTCTGATACCTACCTGTGATGACAAGTGTTGTTCCACTACCAAAGAGTTTCTTAATCCCACAGTGATTCAATACATATGAAAAACTTTAAGTCAATTTCCCTGAGTTCTCCAAATTCTCGTCGTCTGGGATTCTCAAAACACCAGGGTTCCAGTCGTTGTTCATTTTGCTCATAAAAGTTATGTTGCTCAACAAATCAGATAGCTGAAAGCTTTTGGTGTTTTATTTATCTAAAAACAGTGATGCTTGTGGAAATCAGTTCAACATCCCTACCAGCACTGAAGTGAGACCAAAATGAAAGAAACTATAAACAAGCAACTTGATCAAAATGTTACAGGTCCCGGTGCAGTGGCTCGTGCCTGTAATCCCAGCACTTTGGGAGGCTGAGGTGGGAGGATTGCTTAAGCTCAGAACTTCGAGACCAGCTTGGACAACATAGTACATAGTGAGACCCCGTCTTTACTAAAAATTAAAAAAAAAATTAGCTGAGCATGATGTGCATGCCTGTAGTCCCAGCTACTTGAGAGACTGAGGCAAGAGGGTCGCTTGATTCTAACAGTTTGAGGCTGCAGTGAGCCTTGATTGCACCACTGTACTCCCACCTGGGCAACAGAGGAAGACCCTGTCTCAAAAAATAAAAAATGCTATGGAAATACAAGAGGTTGTGGTAATGATATCATCATCATTGTTACGATTAGCAATCTGTTTGCTATTATTGTGTGCCTTGACATGGCATTTTAATCCTTTACTAAAAAAAATTCAGCATTTTGGAGTGGCAGTTAAATCCATAGAAATTAAGCAGGAAGAATCGTTTCTCAGTTCCTCCGTTTGCATTCCACTTCGCTCTGACATGCCTAGGATTCTCAAAGCCACCATCCCCAACATCACAGGAAACTTGCTTTCCACACGCCCAATTTTTAATAGGCTATCATTTGCCTTATCTGCTGTGTTAAGAAAATCAAAGGAAACACTGACTAAAGTCTAATATATGCAGTCAGTGTATGGAAATTCTTCACTTGTGTTTTCCAAAACAAATGGCTCTTTTTCCTAATCAGCAGCACAACATATTTGCATTCCAAGTTTTATAAGAAATTTCAGCCTCAGACTGACTTCTGAATTCATGCCAAAGTCCAACTTGAAACTCCTGGTTTGGCCCTTCAAGGCAGAATGGCTAGAGAAATGGCGGGACGCATGGTCCTCAAATCCATCTTTCTGTTGTCACTTTAAATCACTACACGCTATCTGCATGATCATGTCTGCTGAGCATCACCATCTGTTCCTTTCATTAAATGTCGGGATTCCCACAGAAGCGATGGAGTAATATACAATGGGTTTCCTTCATGGCCATTCCTTTCATTTTCCAAAATGGAAGTTGAAGGCAAAGCACACTCTTCCATTTCCTTCTAAAGGACTCAAGTATCAAAGACCTTTTCTAATTTTATAATGGAAAAAATATTATATTTGAAGATTTGGTGTGCTGCTTTTTACAGTTAGTAAGAAGTATGTATTCCCCTACCTTGTTCTCCTACCTTTGAGCATAAAATTTTAACCTGTGCTCCTTGCTAGACAATCACAGGCCTTTCTCCTTCTCCTTTCCGTAGAGCTTTTGATCATCTGTGTTTATTTAATGGTCTTACTATGCTTGTGTATTTTAATTTAGGTCTTCTCAAATAGACTTTGAAAACAGGTAGTTTAAGTAAACAACACATAGTCTCCCATCCAAGTACTAACCAGGCCCGACCCCTGGAAACCATCATTCTCAGCAAACTGACAGAATAGCAGAAGATCAAACACCGCATGTTCTCACTCATAGGCGGGTGTTGAACAATGAGAACACATGGACACAGGGAGGGGAGCATTACACACTGGGGTCAGTTGAGGGGAAATAGTGGAGGGACGGTGGGGGGTGGGGAGCTGGGGAGAGATAGCAAGGGGAGAGATGCCAGATGTAGGTGATGGGGAGGAAGGCAGCAAATCACACTGCCACGTGTGTACCTATGCAACAATCTTGCATGTTCTTCACAAGTACCCCAAAACCTAAAATGCAATAAAATAAATAATGGGAAAAAAAGAAAAAACAAATAGTTTGTGCATTATAGCATGCTTCTCTTTTGTCTCCAGGAGTTGATTGTTTTGTAAGGTCAGGCTCACATAAGACACAGGAACAGAGAATATGTTTGCAAATCCTACCTCTGTGATAGGGATACCTACATACTAAATTTAGATAGAAAGTGCCAGAATATAAAATGAGGCTTTCTTTCCCAAAATTTTCGCTCGTTATATGGGGAGGTGTCTAATGTATGTTACAGTCCTTGTGTAACCTCTCACATTTAAAAATGTTCTTCTAACACTCCGCTTTGATCCAAAAGTACTAACTAGATGAGATATCAACATGAAATGAACTCAATGAATGCTAGTTTTGGTAAAATTCACTGATAAAAGAAAAAAAAAGCAAAGAAATTTATCATGGATTTGGTCATTATTACTTGGGGCTAAGTTTCCTGCAGTTTTTATTTACTTCATACAAATGTAGAATAACAGAATAAATTGTAAAAAAGAAATTCCTTTTATTTTGTGAGTGGATAATTTTTTCTTGGGATAAAATATTCAGAGGAGACACCATCCTATGGGGATTCCAAAATGGACACTGAGACCTCAGAGGGCTTAGAAATTTGCTCTAAGGTAGATGTTTTAGATGCATGTGAAGCATTGAAACAAAATTTTTAATGAAATATAAGGGCAAAAAAGGTAATATTTCTCAACTGATATTGCTATTGATATAATTTTTAACTTTGCAGGTATGATCCAGTTAAGAAATTAAAGCTATAAGTAGACATTTGACTGTTTTACCTAGATTCTTATAAATTTACATAATGAAGTTAGGGGACAGAAAAAATATAGATTTTTCTTAAACTTCTATATATTTTCTCTGGAAAATGAAAAATCACCTTTTATTCAGGCAGATTATGTTTGAGATAATACATAAACATTCTAATTACTTTTAGAAGCAAGTACAATTAGTCATTTAGAAATAGAAAGCATTTTACAAATAGTGATATTTGTTCTGAAGTGAGCTGTTGAATAGATGGGGATTGATACATTTATCTGTATTCCCGAGTTTATAAAGACCTCTCATGGGTCGTAACTTGAATTCTGGAAGAGAAATTAATATTTCTATCACCTACCAAGTGTCAGGCATTCTGGTAGGTAATTCCATATTTAATTTCATTTAATTTTTACAACATTCATTTGAGATAAATAATCTCCATTATCTTTATTGTACAGATCAACTGGAAATCAGAAGTTTCAACTTTGCTCTGTTATTGAAAAATATTAAGGACATTTGAAAAGAATGTTTATGAAGTAATGTGAAGGTGAAAAAGCCAAATCTATTATTGTGTATTTACTATGATTCCAACTTTCTAAAATAAACAAAAAACATAGAAAAATGTTGAAATAAAAGTGTAACAAAATGATAATGTGATGAGGGTAAACTTAAAATTGTAATTTTTTGTTTATTTTTGTATGTTTTCCAATTTTTCTATAATGAATGAATCGGTATTTTTATAATTTGAATAATTGGTGAATCAAAGTACACTTCCTAAAGGACAATTACATAGAAAGTGGTAGACCCACGAGTCATTGAGAAAGAAAGTCTATACTTTTTCCTGCACCACACTTTCCTGAAAAATCACTTCTCAAAAAATTACAAATTATGAATTTGATTGCTATAATTCATATTAAGTCATTTGGATAAAAGGGAATTGGAAGGTCACTTTTTAACTTATAAGTTCATTTTACCATATGATCTCAACCACTAAGGAAACAAAAATATATAATTGTTTTCACTTTTTTCAATGCTTTATCAACTTTGTGAAAATTCTCTGAAAACTTTCATTTCAGTGGATCTAATAGACTAAGAGTATCTTTGTAAGATGCTTTCTCTCATCCAAGCAAAATTGCATCTTTAAGCTTAAGCTAACAAATAATAAATTAACTTATTGAACTGACTTAAAAAAACAATAAAAGCAGCTTATGTCACTTTTGAATATAGCCACACTGTTAAATATTTTGACACTTGATATTAATCATCCTTTGGTCAAATTATCAAATATTTCATATTTCAGTGACCAAATAATGAGGATAGCTGATTTCTTTTTACTCTTTTCCACTGGTTATTTTTAGAATTGAAGAAATAAAATCTCTAAACTAAACTCGTTTACAAAACTTTCAAAGAGAGATACCAAAGATCTCCCTCCTTTAGAGACCCACAGTTGGTCGAAGCTTCTGAGTAATGCCTCCCATGCTACAGCAGGAAAAGGTCTGACTCCTAAGGCGTGATCCAAGTCACCTGACCTCTCTGGAGATTTCACCATGATTAGTGACCAAACCAGGAGGGGATCCTAGAATTCCGAGCCAGGTCCTGCATGCCTACCTCCTGTCCTTCTTTACATTGCAAAATTTAAAGAAAGCCTACCTGTAATGATGAGCTTTGTTCCGGGACCAAACATCTTGATTTTTTTGCCAGACTCTTGCCCACCACCTGAGAAGCCTTTATAAGAAACTCCCTTTGTGTTTGTTTTAAAATTGTGCCAACATTTTTTTTCAGTATTTGCATAAATACATAAAAATTGGCCCTGCTGACATTAAGCCAAGACAAAGCTCAAACAAAATCGCAATAGACCTGAATGTAATTAGGAGTTTAAGAACCGACCTTACCCCATCCTGCACACTTTGGGTTATGTACATTGTCTCCTTGTGTCATATACATTGGAGAATCTGATTTTACCTTTTCTCATGATTTTGCCTGAATCTTCCCTAAAGAGTTTTCATGTATGCGCTTTGTTTTAAGTGTAATTTAGAGTTAGTATTTTCCTAATTTTCAAAGAGAAACAGTAATAGGATACTTATGTTTGACAATTATTTAATAAGTAGATAAGCCGATATGATTTATAAGTATTTTGTGATTCGTATGGATGGGTATCTAGATTGATTCTAAAGTAACTTCTTTCTGGCCGGGTGCGGTGGCTCATGCTTGTAATCCTAGCACTTTGGGAGGCTGAGGTGGGGGCAGATCACTTGAGGTGGGGAGTTCAAAACCAGCCTGGCCAACGTGGCGAAACTTCGTCTCTACTAAAAATATAAAAGAATTAGCCAGGCATGGTGGAAGGCGCCTGTAATTCCAGCTACTTAGGAGGCTGAAGCAAGAGAATTGCTTGAACCCGGGAAGTGGAGGTTGCAGTGAGCAGAGATCATGCCACTGCACTCTAGCCTGTGTGACAGAGTGAGACTCCGTCTCAATAAATAAATAAATAAATAAAAATAAATAAACTTCTTTTTAGAATCCAGTTCTCACTGATAGAATACTAGAAGAGTTGTTACAAAATATGAATTCTTAATGATGATTCATCGCTGAAAGACTACGCCTTTTGACTTGAAAATACCCTTACAGTTTCCAGATCATTGAATTAAATCCTGTGCCACTCACCAGAGAGGCAGCTCCGAGTTATGCAACTTAATACTGCAATATAGCATAGCTGCAATAGCTCCTTTATTAGTTTCAACATATCTAGCAAATTTGATGCCAATACAGAAAGACAACTGAGTGGAATGATGTCAAAATGACTCATTCTATAGAAATAACCTAAAAATTATATTTTGAGTATTTAATAAATGCACATTCCACTTGACTTTTTGGAGGAGAGAGAATTTCAGTGCCATAATTAGAAGCAGAAGAATTGTATTCATGTACAAATAATAATACAAATTGTGACTTGTTACTACAAAAACAGCCAACTATAGTGTCCATTCATAGGGTCAAGCTACAGAAGACAAAATATTCAAAGTATAAAAATATGACTTAATATTTCTATACATCATATAAGGGTCCAGATGGGGCACTTTTGGAATAGACAGCCTTAGCTAGATCCTAAACTGCCACAGTGACTAGTCATGTGACTTTAGGAAAATAACTGATCTTCTCCAGGGCTCGGTTTCCTCATCTGTGAAATGGAAATAAGAGGATCTCCTGTATAGGCCTGATGAGGAATGAGATAACGCACTGAAACTATTTAGCGTGGTGTCTACAAACTTTACTCTCTCTCAATAAACTTTACTAATATTAATTTTCTTCTTAAGGGGACAATATCGGGTCATTTTACCAAATTATTCCACCAAACACAATACATAGATCTTATAAGCAATAACTGCTACACGAATTAAGAAAGAAAACGAGCTCATGAACCCAAGACCTTTGCTTCTCTGGCAGCCACAGGCCAAAGAACACGGGCAGGGCCCAGCCAAGCCACAATCTAGAATATTTATCTGCCAGACTGGCAGCTTTTCAATGTTGAAACTGCATCTTGTTTGCCTTTTTATCTCTAACATACAGAACAATTCAATTAATATTTGCTGAGAGGATGAATGAACAAATGAAGATGTAAAATCATGAAGACTCTTTTCATTGACCCTGGAGCTGAAACAGCTGTTTGAACTTACAAATTCTATTAAACTGGGCCATTTCCAGGTGATATTGCAAGAGTTCCAATAGTATAAATGTTGAGTGACCTCAGCCTCCTTCAAAGAAGCAAGAGCAGTAACAAACGGGATGTATTGACCTGCTATGGTAATTTACTATAAGAATTAATTTTTTCTTCACTGTTTCTCAGGATGAGATAAAAATCAATAATATGGGTTTGGCAGGCTACCAGAAGAAGGGAGCACTATGTTATATCTCAAAATACAGAGGAGTAATTAATAAAATTCCATTTTTATGTCTTTCACTTAAAAGACCTACAAAAAACTGTCCTTGGATCAAGGACTTACACCAATGGTATACAGACATGGTTCTGAAAACATTTTAATTTCTAACCAGAGTCTACGGGGTGTGTGTGTGTGTGTGTGTGTGTGTGTGTATTCTAAAAGTCAAATTTCAATCTGCTTACAGGCAGGGAAGGGAAGATAACATGTACAAATTGTTTTGTTTGCATATCCACCTAGCCGGCAAAATTGCTGTCTGTATACTGAGGCCAGGAATGTGAAAGATTCAGATAAGGTTGATCATTTTTTTCTATAAAGCATCTATCAGCTTTTCATTACGGGGATAAAAGCAGAAAAAAAAGTTACTTACCAGGTGGAGTTACTATGAGCTTAGTCCCCTCTGCAAATTTCTTGATCCAACCACTGCTGTCACACTGGTCTAAGCTTCTACAAAATCTCAACCTTCTGATCTTCATGACATGACTAGCAATCCAACAACTTTGAAGTAGCAATTTGATCTTCTGGCTTTTTTGGAAGTCCTTGAATATAGGTATTGTGACATCTGATAGTTTGTTATTTTCCCTGATAAATTACCTGTTTTCTCTTAAGGCAGTAATTTTTGAAAAGCACCAACAGAAAAGGGAAATGGAAAAAAAAAAAAAAAGAAAAAAAAAGCAAGAAGAGAAAACAGCAGGCTCAATGGGTCAACCCACTATTTTTCTAAATTACCAGGAAGAGTATTCAGAGAATTGTCTTTTTTTTCTTTTAATTTCCAGGTGCTGAATTTGTCGAAATTGCTTTGAGATTACATCAAAGGAAAAGCTCTACTGTTCTCACAAACACCAGGGCCTCTCTGTTAGCAATTTGGGAAGATAGTTCTGAAAGGAGGAAGCTCTTTAGTAACTGAAAATGCAAATGTGTCAACGCAGACATACTTGAGAAATTTAAACAAAGGTCTCCACTTTCAAAAAGCCTGTTCTACCGTTTGGCAACGTGATGCTTTTACCAAGCAATGCCAAATAAGAAAATGTGTTCTGCAATGACTATTATTTTTCCTGGAATAGCAGAAGAAATTTGTAGAATTCTATCTCCCATGAAATAATAGATTCTTTATTTAAACCATGCCATGACCCCCCCCAAAAAAAATCCAGTTATCTGATATGTTGAAAAATCTGCAATCTTAAGCCAGCGTCTGCTGTGTGATCTCCTGAGTACAGATGAGGTGTTCAGTTGAAAGGACTGAGGAGGACAGGCCGTGCGTGACAACCTCTATGTCCACTGAAGATCCACCCTTGCTCCAGCCGAAGTATCATGTGTCCTCATTCAGGAAGGCATGAATGAGGTCACAGAGGGCACCTATCCATACATGGCAGCTCACAGCTCCCAATCCAATGGAGAGGACAACAGCGCTGAGTGAAAATTATGTTTGGAAAGTGTTTCTTTTTAATAGAAAATTCAAAATTATTACTTGGAGCTGCCGATTACCCTTTACACCTGTCACAGATGGAGTGATTACCATTCAATCACTTTTTGTCCTCTGGTCTTCCTTATTCCAGGACCATGAGGGGAAGCATCAGATGTTTTAGAAGCTGTCAATATTTCAAGAGCCATGAAGGATTTAAGTAATAAAATGTAAAAAAGTAATGAATTGTAAACTCTTTTATTAAATTTACAAAAAAATACAACGATGTGAAGAACACAGTATTCAGTTTTCCTAAAGGCATACGATAAAACCTAAATAAATGAAGAAACATACATTGATGGATCAAAACCTCCTATCATAAAGAGGCTAATACATCTTAAATTCATGTATAAATTTCCACCAATTTCAGTCAGAATTACTACGACATGTTGTTGTTGCTCTAGGGTGTAAGGTTAAATGCTGGGCTAGATAAGTTCATTTTAAATTGTATAGGGATGAATAAATATGAAATGATAGAAAAAGAATTTTCTGAAAAATTGTTTAGCAAATAGACATTTGGCATAGCAGATCTTAATACTTATCACAAAGCTACTGAGATAGTAAGGTAATGATGTAAGAATAATGAGACAGACGAATAAAACAGAAATTCTCCAGAAAATGTGCCAAGTATGTGTGGCTATTTGAAACACACTGTAACATTTTTAAATTCTAAGAAGATGATGGATTGTTTAGAAATGAACATTAGGAAAATAATTATTTGGGATAATAGAAATATCACTCTACCTCACCTCATATAACATAAGGCCTCAATAGATTAAAATTACAAAGCTAGAAGGAACATGTAGGAGAATAATTGTATCCATTGGGTAAAGGGGCGTGGGATGCATATAGGGTAGGAGAACCTTAACACATTAATTTTTGAAAAGTAAGAATGTGGAAAATTTTCTGTTTTTATAGTATTTTCAAATAAATGTTTTTGAAAGAAGGATAGATAATGAAGACCTGCTAAAAGATTTAGGGAGAAAAGTGACATGATCACATTTGCACTTTGGGAAGATAAATGTCGAGCAGAAAGGAAGGGGCACTGACCAGCACAGCAATTAAGGTGAAGCAGGTGGTTGTATAGGTGGTCGCCAGAAGCCAATAAGAGGCAAGCGAGGACCTGCGTTGCTGCAGTGATGGTGGAGATGGACAGAGTGGCTGGAGCAATAAACATTAACAGGTTTATTTGAGTTTTAAAAATATTCTTATGAAATAAATTATTATCTCAGGAAGCTGGGAATGAAGAAAAAAAGACACTTTAAAATGGGAAAACCCAGGTTCAGATTCCAGTTCTTCCATTCTTGGTGATGTGCCCTTGAGCACACACTTCTAAGAGCCTTGGTTTCCTCATCTTTTAAGGAGAGGATTAGACCTATTTCCCAGGAATTTTGTATGATATTCATAATAGAACCTGGGACACAGCAAGTGCTAAAAACTGATTATGCAATAATTCAGACAGAGAGACTTCACTTCGTAAGGTAGAATGGAAACATCCTATTTCTGTGTCTTTTTATCTGAAACTTCTGAGTTATTGTTACTTCGGACTGTCAATTACCCTTTGCACCTGTCATAGACGGGATGATGCCCACTCAATTCCTATTTGTCCTCTGCTTTTCCTTATCCCAGGACCATGTGGGGAAGTATCAGAAGTCTTAGAAACCGTCTACATTTCAAGAGAAGGATTTAAGTAATGAAATGTAAAAAAGTAAGTCACAAATTATCACATCTGTTATTAAATTTACAAAAAAATAAAAGAACTATGTGAAGACCATAATGTCCAGTTTTTTATTAAAGGCATAAAATGAAACCTAAATGAATGTGTATAAAGAGGAGCAATTTTGCTTCTAACCCTATGTTTTGGAACACAAGCATCCCTCCTACCACATTTGTCATGTCTTGAGATAACTAACTGAGGCAACTTAAATCCTGCTTCCAAGAAGATGGGTTATGAATGAATAAATATATAAATAACAAGTAAGTCAAGTGAGCTAAAGCACAAGTTGGCACTGCATTGCTTGAAGTTTTGCATCACTTTTTCAAGTTTGATGATGATCACTTTCATAGAGAACAGCTCCAGCCAAATTTGTTAGACCATCAAAAGGTAATGAAGATATATCTCATATTTCATTTCAGGATTTGGTTGCCAACATGAACCAAAATAATCATTTGCACATTTTTTCACATTGGTTTATCTTTTAGAATTTTAATGGATCTTAACTAAATTGGGTACAGAAGTAAGTTAAGACACATCGGAGAAGAAACATGGGCAGACAACTCTCTGAAGTGAAATAAACACATTATCTGACATGTACAAGAGATAAAAAATGACATATTGACAATCTCTGAACCACTAACTTTCATAATTTAGCATAATTTGGTTTCACATATGTTATCACTTAGATATCAGATATATTACAATATAGTACAATGGATCTTTACTTGTTTCTAAAAACACGGGAGCAGTCTTTGGAAGAGGTCAGGTCACTGCACTTTCAAGCAGATTCTGCCTTTTAGCAATTTTGCCATCTGTCTTCATTCTTAACCTGATGATTTAGTCTTTTAGGGTTTCTTTTGCAATTGGGGTATTTAACATGCCACTATGCATATTATAGCCACTTTTCAACTGATATTGCCCCCATAGGCAAACACGCCTGGTGAAACACTTGTTTCTTTTGGGCAAACAAGAAACGTTTGTATAAAAGACTCTTGTGTCTGGAAGGTCTTGAGAAATTAATATTCTACTCTAAGCCCCAAATCTCCTTTTCACTTCCCTTCCCCCTGATCCAGGATGATATTCCATAAGCCTGTGCTCTCTGATAGTGAAAGAAAACTCATAAATATAGGGTCTACCAAAAATCAGGCACCAATTATGCATTTATCTCTTTCAGCTTTACCCCATAAATTGTTATTACCATTAAAAGTCATGTGAGGAAACAGAGTTAGGAGTTTAAACTGAGCTAGGATTTCACTCAAGTTTTCAAGATCCCAAACCCTGTTCATCAATTACTTCACTGTTTGAGTGTAATTGGAAAGATGTGCATGGGAGAAACACAGTTTCCAGGTGTAGTCTAGGTCTGTATAATATAGGGAATCTGTATCTCAAATGGCCATATATAGGATACTGGGTGTTGCTTTCTAGGAATCACAGAACATGTCAAATGAAATAAAAAGCAGATGAAATGGTTAATTTGGATATTCTCAAAAGCAATGCATAGTCACTGCAAACAGCTAGCAAAATAATCTGTGAGGAATGGAGCTAGTTGAATCTGAATATCCAATTATATCTGACAATTTACCTTCTTTTTATTTGTCTTTCAGTGACACCAGGAGATGATAGCATCCATGGGACCATTTGAGCCATGCACTTCAGAATGACAATCATTGCTGTCACGGCTTGTCTATCACCCTGCACATGTCAGAGGAAACACAAAGAGTTTCTAAACCTGCAGTAAGTTAGAGAGAAGACTGGTGTTCTCTGCATTGAGTCCATAGTGTTTCAGTCGGGGGCTCTGTTGAGACAGCCTATTCCAATCTCAGATTGGGCCACACAGAGTTGGGCCTGGTTTGTGGGTGACTTTCTGGCAGGTGAAACTAGTTTCCAGGGTTCCCATAACCTCCCTTCAGATCTCACATCATAGGAAACTCAATAATAGTTGTGTCTCCTCACCTCTTCTCTCATTACCAGGAGAAATAAAAAATGTAGAAGTCAACAAAACACTATCTGCTTGAGAAAACACCCTTGCCATTGCATCAGATGATACAATATACGCTTGCCATTTCCCGCAATAAGAAAGCCTGAAGAGACAAATAATACATGCTTGGAGATTAGGGGAAGGGAATGGAATTGGAATCAACAATTTTTTTGGCTATTTATCAGACATCCAAAAAGAGAGGTACTGAGCTATAATGTAATCATATAGATACGGTTGCTGCTATTGTTCTTGCTATTTTCAAGGTGTGGCTGGTAAGGCCTAGGACACGAACAAGTCCTAAGTCGCTCTCTCAAGGCAGAAAGCAGGCCAGGGCTGCCCAATGTGAACCAAGTGCATGGCTAGACAGCTAGGATTGGTTCCAGGTTTCAGAGTGAAGGTAGGAAACCCCAGCCTTGGTTCAGCAGATTCTTCTATTATAAGAATTTACTAATCTAGTCAGATAAAAAGCTAATCTCTACTTCCCACGTGCCCATATGGTGATGGGCACACCAGGGAAATTGCTCTAATTAGCAGGGATTTCACAACAGATAGGAAGCTACAGAAAAAAGGGGCAGTAAGTAGCTATGGGAAAACAACATGGGTAGATGAAGCGTGGAGTCCATCCCTGCCGACCTTTGTCCCCTTCTCAGCAGTGTGGTAGTCACATATATGTTTGGCCTATATCCAACTTGATTGGGGCCTGGGGGTACCACTGAGGAAGACAACGCATAGTTGTCACTGTTCCCATTTGAAAAAAATGTGATTTTGCTGAAAGAAATTCAGCACTGACCACAAGAGAGGCAGGAAGAGGCACTGGACTGAGAATCTGAAATGCAGTGTGGCCCTACCTCTGTGGTTAACTAGCTTGACACAAGTCACGTGCTGCCTCTGTGGCCCCAGCTTCCTCATTTGAAGTGGGGACATTGGGCTAAATATATTCCAAGGGCCCTCCCTGTTCAAACAGGCTGTGAACCAATGAACAAGAGCATTGGTCTGCTGTGGCTGCATGAGTACATAAGCAGTTGGGGGTGGTCATAGGAAGGTTTTCTTACAGGTCCCTTCTGACTCTGTGACATTGTGATATCCCAGCAGGCACAGTAATAGGTGGCTTCATTCAGCTTGGCAATGTTGTCATGATCAGGTAAAAGATATTATTATCTATATCTGCCTCCAAGCAGGGATTAGGCCTGTCTTGCTTGTAATTTTTTGCTGAGCCATAAAGGATTTGTCTCAGGGGCTCCCCTTCCTTTTGTTGATCCAGTGCACAATGGTTTTCTTGAGGGGAAGCCCAGACAGCTTGCAGCCTATGTGCACTGTTCTGTCTACTCTGCGGCTGGAGGAGAATTGGTCCTGAGATATTCTCATTTTGTTGTCTCCCTCTGAAAAGCAAGGAAGAGAAATGAGAGGCTCTGAAAACAATCGACTGTGGACACAAAAATTATTATGAAACGATGAGAAAGGAGTAAAGTCAGCCTACAAACCCAAGCCAAAGACACAAGGAAAACCCATGAGGTTGACATTGCCAGTGGCTAGCTGGAGTAGGCGCTACAAGGGACCACAGGTTAGGACTGAAGATGCAGTGGAGCCCTTGCTGCGTGACGGGGAGGGAAAGGTTTGTTTCAGAACCAATGAAAGTCCCTCGCAGTGAGAGCTGCTGCAGTAGTATTTGTCTGGTGTGAAGAAAGTATCAAATCCCAGAAGGTCTCATGAAAACATTTCTGCTATAATAAATTAATGTTAACTTCCCCTTTGGAGCAATTCCCTCCTTTTGTTTTTATTTATTTATTTATTTATTTATTTTACTTTAGGTGCGTACTATATCTGGCATTTCTCCCCATGTTACCCCCCCCACCCTCCCCTCCCTCCCCACCCCCACTGTCTCTCCCCAACCCCTCCCAACTGCCCCCAGTGTGTGATGCTCCTCTCCCTGAGTCCACGTGTCCTCATTGTTCAACACCCGTCTATGAGTAAGTACATGCAGTGTTTGGCTTTCTGTTCTTGTGTCAGTTTGCTGAGAATGATGAAGTGTTACTTCAAATACCTCCATCTTTGACCTCTGTTTCCTCTCCCTGTTTTGCCATATTTAGTCAGAGTTGTGAGTTGCTATGCATTATCATGAGTATTGGAGGAAAAGTATATTTACTGTGTCTAGTAACAAATGGGATTAAAATCTTGCAACCTCTTGCAGTACTGTGTATGTTTTATAGATTAGGAGTGTGCCCAAACCTCGCACTGTGATAAATATTAACAATTCATGTAGTTACTACTTTAGACACTGTGATGTTATACTCTGTTGTGACTGAAGCAAAATTTTAGAGGAAAGAAGTCTTTTTGGTTCATTACCCTCCACTCTTCCCATGTGCATTTTTAGTTTTTCAGAATTAAAGTTATAATGTACTGTTCTTTGGGGAACGATGTAAGATGTGATTTATATTTATTTAGCGACAAGCTCTAGCTCTGTCACCCAGGCTGGGATGCAGGGGCACCATCATAGCTTGCTGCAGCCTCGAATTCCTGGGCTCAAGTCATCCTCCCACCTTAGCCTTCCAAATAGCTAGGGCGGCAAGTGACTACCTCCACTCCCAGATAATTTTTGTGTGTTTTTCAGAGACAGGATCTCACTATGTTGCCCGAACTGGTCTGAAACTCCTGGCCTAAAGTGATCCTTCCACCTTGGCTTCCAAAAGTGCTGGGATTATAGCAGGTGTGAGCCACCATGCCTGGCTTATTTTTAAGAGTTTCTAAGCGGCCAGGTGTGGTGGCTCATGCCTGTAATCCCAGCACTTTCGGAGGCTGAGGTGGGCGGATGACCTGAGGTCAGGAGTTCGAGACTAGCCTGGCCAACATGGAGAAACTTCATCTGTACTGAAAAAAAAAAAAAAAAAAAAAAAAAATTAGCCGGGCTGTGGCGCATGCCTGTAATCCCAGCTACTCGGGAGACTGAGGCAGGAGAATCACTTGAACCCAGGAGATGGAGGTTTCAGTGAGCTGAGATCATGCCATTGCACTCCAGCCAGAACAACAAGACTGAAACTTCATCTCAAAAAAAAAGTCTCTAAGCATTGCTATGTTAGCTTTTTATTTTATATTTTAATAATTTTATTTTAGCTATTTTAGCTGAGACAGCTCAGTGACTTAGTCATAATGGGAAAGGACACAAAGGAAGTGATCTGTTGAGCACTAGGTCAGAAACTTTCATATATGGAGACTCATTCAAACCTCAGTGAATCTATGAGGTGGCTAATGTTAGCCCCACTTGAAGCTGGATAAACAGAATGAAAAAGCATTAGGAACTTTCCTAGATCACACTGTCAGTATTCCCAGCAGGAATTCGAAACCCAGGTCTATGTCACTCAAAAGGCCTTGTATTTTCCAGCACTCTTTCATTCACTCAAAGTTAAGAAACCAGCCCAAAAGCCAGTGCAGTCTCCAGAAGGGTGAGGTTGGATGATAAAGTTTCTCACTGAAAGAAGCGTCAGACATTGGGCTCTTGGGCTCCTGCTCAGACTGCTCAGGACACACACACCAGAGAAAGGCGCTCTGCAGCCAGCAGCCAGGTGCCTCTGGGAGGTAGAAAGGAGGCGGTGTGTGTGTTTGCACAGGTGTAACGGGCTCGGGAGGCCTTTTTGTTCAGTTACAGTGGAGCATTTTGACACAGTGTGTCCCAGCAGGCGCAGTAATACATCCCTGCTTCCTCCTCCGTGACTCGGTGTATTCTCAGGCTGGAGGACAAGTCACTTTGCCATTTCCTTGCTTCATATCTTTCCTCACTAAAACCTTGTTCATGGACAATATTTTCATTTGAGGAGATATACAGAATTCGTTTTAGGAACCGGTCTGGCTTCTGGTGGTACCAGTGTACACATACATTCTTCTTAAAGGTATTGGGTTTTATTCGGCATTCAAGAAATGCTGTATTTCCTTTTTTCTTGGTGATGGATGTTACAAGTTGTGTTATGAGATTGTCTCCGCTTGTGTCTGAAAGAAAAAACAAAAATTTTGAAATTTTTGAATATGAAATTTTGATGTTCATTAAGATAGCATGTTTGTTATATACTAAGGGAAAGCTTGAATGTAAAGTTTACATTTTCTTCCTGAAGAATTCAAGGTAATGGTGGAATTTGTCAGCTTAGCTTGAATGACCATGTGGCTTTGTTCCACCTGAAAATGGTGCTATATAAATGTCTACACTTAGGTTGATTCATGTCTTTGCTATTGTGAATAGATCTGCAATAAACATATGCATGCATGTGTCTTTATAATAGAATGATTTAAATTCCTTTGGGTATATGCCCAGTAATGGGATTGATGGGGATACCTCAGAATACCATGCAGCCATAAAAAGAACAAAATCATGTCCTTTCAGGGACACGGATGGAGCTGGAGGCCATTATCCTTAGCAAACTGACACAGGAACAGAAAACCAAATACCACATGTTCTCACTTATAAGTGGGAGCTAAATGTTGAAAACACATGGATACAAAGAGGGAAACAGCAGACACTGGTGCCAATCAGAGGGCGGAGGGTAGGAGGAGGGAGAGGATCAGGAAAAATAATGAATGGGTACCAGGTTTAGCATCTGGGTAACAAAATAATCTGTACAACAAACCGCCATGACACAAGTTTACCTATATAACAAACCTGCACATGTACCCCTGAACTTAAAAGTAAAACAGTAAAAATAAATAAATACCCACAATAAAAATAAATAAACATCCACACTTTCTGTGCCTCCCTTCCAATGAACAAGATGTCCCTTGGCTAAAGCAACTCACACGTCCACAGGGAGGCCACCAGGATGCCCGGCAGCAGGAGCAGCATTCTATAAGTTCTTGTCCAGAGAGGTGGCCAGATTTGAGGTATTCTAATCACAGAGAAAATCTGAGGTCTGAGGTGGCAAGAGGAAGTGCACTCTGAACACACAGCTAAGACCTGTAGACTGCAGGGAAAGGGACCCATGCTGCTTCACTCAAACATCCTGTGTAACCGGTTTTCAAACTCAATATGTCAATGGATTTCTCATTGCTGTGTGATTTTTACTATCTGAAGATGTTTTTCTTGCTAAAGGATAAACATTCTTTATTGGTCTAAAACAGAGAAAGAGAGAAAGAAACCTTAAAGTCTGCCTTTGAGGTGCCTCAGGGGCAAGTTTGTTTGTTTGTTTGTTTTGTTGTTGTTTTGAGACAGAGTCTTGCTCTGTCACCAGGCTGGAGTGCAACCTCTGACTCCCTGGTTCAAGCGATTCTCCTGCCTCAGACTCCCAAGTAGCTGGGATTACAGGCACGTGCCACCATGCCCAGATAATTTTTGTATTTTTAGTAGGGATGGGGTTTCACCATGTTGGCCAGGATGATCTCCATCTCCTAACCTCGTGATCCATCTGCCTTGGCCTCCCCAAAATGCTGGGATTACAGGCATGAGACACCCCGCCCAGCTGGGGCAAGTGTTATAACACGGTTGTTTTTCACTGCACATCACCTGACAGCTGTAAATCTAGGCTAAGGGAAGAGCTAATTTACGTATGACCCAGCTTTATCCTATAGACAGCCCAGCTAGAGCAAACTTACTTCAGATTCTCTCATTTTTGAATGTTACCATTAAATGGGAACCTTACAGATGCTGTGTCCTTGAAGTATACTTTTAAAACAAAACATTTTTAATACATTTCAAAAACAAAAGCCGTTGTTATTTCCTATAATAAAACAGGTGTAGATTCAGAGGGGTCATAAAGAAACACAGGGGAGAAAACAACCCCTTTTTGTCCCCACCACCCAGAGGCAACTACTATGAAGAGTTTGGTGTACTTCCTTACAGGCTAATATATGCTCATCCTTTTCATTTGTTTCATATAGATATAAGATGTGTGCTCAATTTTAAGATCTGCCTTTATAACTTAACACCAGGAACATTTTTCTGTTCTGTGGTTACTTTCTTGTCATGTTCCGACACTCAGCAAGATTCCCTGGTTCACCACCACACTGACCATCAGAACACATAGGGGTCTGTGATTTCATTTATTTTACATGACCAGTCCCACAAATTACAGGCACAGAAGAAGAAGAAATTATTGTTTAGTTGATCACTTAGTTTTTTGAACCTCTATGAGGCGCCTATTGCTCATTTAGTATCTAGTTAATGAAACTAACTTAACTATCTGCCTTCCTTTTCTTTTTTTTTTTCCATTTATTTATTTTATTGCATTTTAGGTTTTGGGGTACATGTGAAGAACATGCAAGATTGTTGCATAGGTACACACGTGGCAGTGTCATCTGCTGCCTTCCTCCCCATCACCCACATCTGGCATCTCTCCCCCTGCTATCTACCCCCAACTCCCCACCCCCCGCCGTCCCTCCCCTATTTCCCTCCAACTGACCCCAGTGTGTAGTACTCCTCTCCCTGTGTCCACGTGTTCTCATTGTTCAACACCCGCCTATGAGTGAGAACATGTGGTGTTTGATCTTCTGCTCTTCCGTACGTTTGCTGAGAATGATGGTTTCCAGGTTCATCCACGTCCCTACAAAGGACATAAATTCATCATTTTTGATGGCTGCATAATATTCCATGGTGTATATGTGCCACATTTTCCCTGTCCAGTCTATCAACATCAATTCTTCACTCTCCTCCTAGTCTTCCTGCATCTCCCAAGCAAAATAGCTCTCCTCAAAGCCTGAGGTTCGCTTCCTGGGGAACTCAAAGTAAGACAGGTTGGCTGTGTCGCTTTCAATACAGATGCCCTCCTGGTTGTTCTAACAGTTCCACATCCCTCCAGACCTAAGAGTAACAAGAACTTTTGTGCTTCAGTAGCCCATTTGAGTAGTTAGGGCAGAGACTATGTTGTCTACCAACACAGAACATATTTACTCTTTGGCCCCTTACAAAAAATAGTTTGCCAACTCCTGTTTTAGAGCAATTAAAAAATAAAATTTAAAGGACAATGTTTTACCTTCATTTATTCTATTTCCAGTACTTATCATTTCTTTGTGTGAAGTTTGTGACCCATATCAATTTTTTTTGCCTGAATATCTTCTAACATTCCCTGTGAAGTGTATCTGCTGGCAATGAATTCTCTCAGTTTTTACTGTGCCTGAAGATGTCTTTATGCCAAGTGACAGTTTTTTCATTCAGCACTTTAAAGATTTCACTCCTTGCATGGTTTCTGACAGAAAATCTGCTTTTTTCCTCTTTGCTTCCAAGAGTTTCTCTTTATTTTTGGTTTTCAGCAGTTTAAATCTAATATGACTAGGTGTTTTGTTTTGTTTTTAATATTTAGATTGGTTGGTGTTTTCTTAGTTTTTTGGTTCTGTGGTTTGGTGTCTATCACTACATTTGGAATATTCTCAGCCATTACTTTTTCAAATGTTTCTTCTGCTCCTTTGTCTCTTGTTTCTAGGATTCATGACAAATACGTTTGAAAATATGATATTGTCCACAGTTCTGTTCTTCCATGAAGATATGCTTTCTCTCTTATTCTTTCTTATCTTCTTGCATTGCAATTTGGGTAACATCTAGTGGCCTATCTTCATGTTAACCAAGTCTTTCCTTATCTCTGTAGGGTCTACTGGTGAGCCATTCAAAGGCATTCTTGATTTCTGTTAGTGTGGGTTTTTTTTTTATGCCCTGCATTTTCATTTGATTTTTTTTAAATGTAATTGCTGTCTCTTTGCTGAAATTCTCTGATCTGATCTTGCACGCTGTCTACCTTTTCCATTGCAGCCTTTAACATACTCATCAGTTATTTTAAATTCCCTGCCTGACAGCTCAAACATCTAAGTCATCTCAGAGTCTGATGTGGATGATTGCTTGGTGGCTTCAGACTGTGTTCCTTCTTGTTTTTGGGTAAGCTACTTAGACATTTTATTAAAAGGGGACTATGTTGTATAACACAATAGATATTGAGATAATTACATTTGATGCTTAAAAATGCCTACATCTTTCCTTCTGCCAGACCTTTAGTGTGAGAGTCTGTGCTAATCTAGTTAAGAGTTAGACTGGGCTAGAAGTTTGTTGTTGCTGCTAAGTTATCAGGATTGGAGTTTGTTTTTCATAGGACGTCAGAGACTTTAGATTTCTCTAGTCATCCCTTGTTCTTAGCTTTGAGTCTTCCCTTTGTTCTGCTCCCCAGATACAGTCTGTCTTTTGAAGCTCTCTTTGCTGCATTCTACTGTTGTTTTTACTCAAGACAATATGGTGGTGAGAGGTGGGGAGAGGAGACATTCTCTGCTTTTTTCATTCAGCTTCTGTCTTAAACAGGCAGGGTGAAATTGGGACTTGAGAATGTACCTTCACAATTGCTGCTCCTACTCCAGAGGTGGTGCATTTCCAGCCACAGGAAGCACCCACCAATGTCCTCTGGCTATGGTTTTGACACCCACTTTTCTGCACATTAAAACTTGTTACTTTGTGGAGATAGGGGTAAAGTATTGGGCAGAGTGGATGGTGGCCTCTTTTTCCCTCCTTCATCTAAGATGAAATTCCATGGAGACCTTCTCTTGCAAATTAAGTCTTTCTTCTACAGTGGAGAGGAAGTGGAGTAGGTCGGAGTGAATTTCAGCAGTGGCTACTGTTCCCCTCCTACAGCCAGTATCAAAAGGGAAGCTTTCTCTGAATTCACCATGTCCTTCCCTGCAAGAGCCTGATAGGGTTCCTGGAGAAAAAGTCTAAAAGATGATGGAAAATTCCCTGTATTTGTGGCCCCCAAAACCTCACACTCTCCCACTAGTCTGCACTCAGCCTTTATAATTTCACTAAAATGTCTAGTTTAATCTCCTATCAGTTTTTTTTCTAGCCATAGAGACCATATACCAGATGCCATTTTTACCCTCTCTCTAAGAGTCAGGACATAGCGTGCTTAGGAGGACAGACACCAAAGCCAAAACCCCAGCCCCTCCCCACCCCAGTTAGCAACCCCGTGACCACAAAGTAAATCACATCGCTCTATCTCTGTTTTCTCCCCTGTAAGATATGAATCACGACAGATTAATATAAAAAGATTGTCCCAAGGATGAGATGAGTTACATGAAAAGGATTTAGAGTAGTGCCCAAAAGGGAGCAAAAGGCCCTGAATAAATGGCTGTGGTGATCACAGGCAGAAGCCAGGAAGAGGATCAATTCTGGTGGGTATCCACCTTGTTCTGGGATAATCGAATGCCCCCTCCCTTCCCCAGGAGGATCTGAGGCCAGTGCAAAAGAAAGTATGCTGGCTGGGCTGTAGCAGGATCCCTCAGAGTGGAATGGGCCTAAGAGAGGGCAGGAGCTGGATCCCACGCTCACCCTCCAACATGAGTGGAACAAATGAATGCTAACTTCTTCAGGGGAGCAGGACAGAGCCGAGGAAACATGGGCACCTGGGGTTTAAGAAGGTATTTTATCTTTCAAATTATTTCATATTAAAGTGGAAAAAAAATGAAGATGACATTGCGAAATGTTGCCATGGTTATATAAGACGTATAAGATACCCAGTGTGTTTTCTGCCACTCGGTGATTCCATCTTTGAATTTGGATCGTATAAACTTACAGATAATCCCTGGACCATGAGTACAGAGTACCCTGATTTCTATGTCCTAATGTGTGAACATAATCAAGTTTCCAGAGGTGGAGGGGGAAGTCTTGGGAGATGCAGTCCAACCCTGACAACACCACTGAGTCTGTGCTCCTGTTGGGAGGGAGCCGGTACACACAGGCCTGAAGAGGGATTCTGTGCGGGTGTCCTTACATCTCTCATCTGTGATTCCAGCAAGCACACAACTGTCCCCATTTCCTTTTCTTGAGAATTTATCTTCTAGGTCAAAACAGATCTAGGAACATCATTTTCAGCTATAGCCCCTAGGAATTTAGCAGGTGACGGTGTTGTGGAAAATGTATCAAGTTATGCTTCAGCCAGTATAAGTGGCTAGACACCACCCCAGACAATA